TCATTGCACACCCCAACATTGGCCCACCGCCTTGGGGACCCCCGCAGCCACCAGTGGCCGGGCCAACACCGAGACTGGTCCGGCCAACACCGAGACCGTCCCCGAAGCAGCGGTCATACCCACCAGTGCCGCCATATGCGCCAACCAGTGGCAGTGGAGCATCGACTTGACGATTGGGACTGAGAACTCAGAACTGAGAACAGACGAGAACAGTTTCGCGAGTGAAAAAGCATTGCACGCTGCTAACTTGTGTTCGTCCCAGACCCCCCAACCCGACACGCCACCCTTTGCACGCGCAGGAAACCAACAGCATGACCTCCGAGAGCAACAAATACACCGTGCGCGGTGCCAAGAGCGATTGCTCACTGCACATGTCAGCCTCAACCGTGCGCACCTGCGCCGACTCCTCCTAGGCATTGAAGCTATAGCTCCAGCTTCGAATTCCGGGTCGATGCCAAGGTGCACTGGCAGAGTTTCAGCCTTTGCCAAATTAGATGCCCTTAGTTTGCCCTGACTTCACCCGTAGCAGGGGTTGGGCGGGGGGGGGGGGTTGGGGGTTAGTTTTGGGGAGGGGGGGTTTGAAGAGAAGGGGGAAGTTTGGGGGAGGGTATGAGGTGCTAGGGTTGCGTCATGGTGGGGCGGTGGGATTTTGCGGCTTTCTGGAAAAAATTCATGGCAGGCGCCCGCGAGAGTCGCTGTCGCCGATTTCGAAGAAGGAAAACAAGCCGACACGCTGTTTCTGCCTTTGTCAGCCATGAGCCACCCATGCTGTCCATGTCAGTACATATCGGAAATAAAGAAACAAGGGATCTAAGGGTAGGTGGAGGGAATGACATATAATAAAAAATATGAAATTAGTAGGGTCGAATAAGAAAAAAACAAGCGTCAAGTAGGGGTGAGATAAGGGTCAAACAAGGAAAAAATGCGACATGAGGGTCAAAGCATAAAATAAGGATAAAACGAGTAAAGTAAGGGTCAAATAAGCATCAAATAAGAAAAAATGTGTCAAATAAGCGTCAAATAGCCCAAAACAATAAGGGTCCAACAAGAGTAAACTACATAAGGGTTGAATAAGTGTATCATAAGAGTCAAACAAGAAGTGGCAGCACACGGTGAACTCCTTTTCGTGTTTCCGAGCGCGGCTCAGCCGGAGGCTACAGGACTGTCACGGACCATTTACCAGGAGCGGCCGTTTATGACGCAGATTAAAAGACAGATTTAACACTCGAAATCTTGGCTGGTAACAATGGAGTCAGACTCCTCATCAGCCATGGAAATGCAGAGTCTCACCGAGAGTGATGCTCCGATCTGGACACGTTCAAGCAGCACGTCCCTGCCTTCAGAGAGCCTGAAGGATAGAAGCCGATGTGCCGAGTTGCTTTTTTTCTGTGCCCTGAGTGCGTAGTGTCTTGCAGGAATTTGAGAACAACAGCTCCCTCGTCAAGACAGGCCACATTTCTCAGATAACCTGGAAGCTTCTCCTGGACACGCTGGGAGCAGACACTCTACAGGAGCTAGCGGGACCTCTTATTTGGCCCTCAATTCGCCCCAATCTGAGCCCTTAATCTCCCCTTATATGACCTCATGTTTGCCTTGTCTTAGCGCGTTGCTCCATTGTTTGGCCCTTAATTTTATCGCAAACGCGAGGCCGCCTCGGCAAGGGTACCGACATGCTAGTCGCGCAGCGCGCAGGGGGGGGTGGGTGGGGGGGCGTGGAGGAAAAGGGGGTGGGGGGGTGGGGGTTGGGGGGGGCTTCGGTGGGGGCTTGAGGCTTCGGGCTTGGGCTGAGGGCTGAAGGGGGTGGGGGGGTGGGGGGGGGGTGGGGGGGTGGGGGGGGCGGATTTGCCCTAAGTGCTTTTAGACCCTTATTCTGCCCTTATTCGGCCCTTATTTTGCCATTCTGACCCATATTTTCATATTTTTTTGCGCATTGCCTGTATTCGATCCTTATTTGGCCCTTACTTTGCTCTTATTCGATTCTTATTTTGGCGCGTTGCCCCTTGTCTGGCCTTTATTTTGCCCTTAATCTGACACTGATTTTCCCGCATTTTGCCTGGAGGTGCTCTTATTTTGCCCTTAATCTGCCCTTAATCTGATTCACTTTTGCCTTAAATTTGCGCGTTGTCCACTTGCTTGGCCCTTAGGTTGCCCTACTCTGACCCTTATTTTCCCTTATTTTGACACATTGCCTTTATCAATTACGCATTTCTGTGGTGTGACTGTGAGGAGTCTATGCTGGCTTTCACGCGAAATACTTCCAGCACATGCACTGGTGCCTACACCAGTGAAATGGCACTGGCAGTGATCGAAAAGACCGTGAACGATTCAGCGCAGCTTCGTTGCGGGATTCGCCTGCGGCCTCGCATTGCTTGGGCTGCTGGCGCAGCAAATAGACACTTAAGCCTCCAGCCTTAAATCGTGCAGCTCGTTTTTAATTGCTGTGGCACCCAGGAGATCAGTCGCCCGTGCAGACAATTCATACACGATCATGAACAATGGTGTCAAGATGTCAAGGACGACGCATATGCTCCGCCTTGCTTATTCGGTGATGTGACTTTGGTGCTGCCGGAGGGGACCTTCCACCCGGAAGCCACTTTTGAGGCGCAATTGAAAGCAGCCAGCGCTGCTGATTTTGTGGGCACTCAGCGGTGCCACACCTGCCACAGGAGGTGCGAATTCTTGGCGCCCAAAGCTGAGTTGGAAACAGCTGGGCTTCCATGCACAGATCAATCCCGAATTGGCACCAAAAAATACCACGCAGGACCAACTGCTAAAGTGTTTATATCCCACGCCAAAATCCACATCGAGAAGCGCACGCCGCTCATCATCCTGGAGAACGTGCAGGACTGCTCAGTAAATAAAAATACACGGCAACAATTAACCAAGATGGGACAAAGGAAATAAGTGCAGAATAAAAGGATAAACAAGGGCAAAGTAAATCAGATGAAAAATGCTCACAGGGCAAAATAAGGCCGAAATAAGGTCATAAATAAGGGTCAAGTAAGAACAAATAATTTGCAAACGCTTGCGCGCGCCACCTCGGCAGCCAGGCCGGCTCACATTGCAAGGCCTCTCACAGGGGCCTGCTAAACGCCTACGAAAGCCTAGGCCCTAGGCGAGGAATCTTGCCATGGCTGTGCCCCTTGCAATCGACGTGTGCTTGCTAAGTGGCAGGACAGAAACACTAGTTGCCAAGGGTAATGAGACGGTGGCAAATTTCAAGAGGAAGGCAGAGCAGGCCCTGGGTGTCGGCAGTGGCAAGCTTTTGGACTCCCACGGCATCGTTCTGGATAAAGCAGCAACGCTTGAGGAAGCCACCGCGCGCAGCAGCAGGCTGACGTGGCAGCTGCATGTGGCCAGGATCCAAATCCATGGCAACAGAGACTCTTTTGCCGCGATTCTGGGTGACGGGTCAGTTGTGACGAGAGCTGTTTCTGGCTTCGGCAGCAGCGCGCCAGGGCGCCTGCAGGACGTGCTACAGATCCAAGCTACCGGTCTAGCCTTCGCTGCTGTTCTGAGCGACAGGTCTGTGGTAACGTGGGGCGAAAAGGAAGCTGGCGACAGCAGTGCTGTGCAATCTCAGCTGCAGGATGTACAGCAGATCCAAGCAACAGCTATGGCTTTCGCTGCCATTCTGGGCGACGGGTCTGTTGTGACGTGGGGCGCTCCTACCAGTGGCGGTGACTCCTCCGCAGTGCAGAAACAGCTGAGGAATGTGCAGCAAATCCAAGCAAACTCCACGGCGTTTGCAGCCATTCTGGGCGATGGGTCCGTTGTGACCTGGGGCGATCGTCGGACTGGCGGAGACAGTAGTGCTGTGCAAGGCCAGCTGCAGAAAGTACAGCAGATCCAGGCCTCCGAAAGGGCTTTTGCGGCAGTTCTGGGCGATGGTTCAGTTGTGGCCTGGGGCGAAACCGGAAATCCAGCCAGACTGCAAATGGTGCAGAGCGTCCAGGCTTCCGAGCGCGCTTTTGCTGCTCTCTTGTCTGATGGATCTGTAGTGACCTGGGGCCCTGCACAGTACGGCGGCGATAGCAATGCCGTGCAAGGTCAGCTCAATGACGTGCAACAGATCGCTGCCACAAAGGGTGCATTTGCTGCTATCCTGGGCGATGGATCTGTAATTACATGGGGCGACAGCACTTGTGGCGGCGACAGCAGTTGTGTGCGAGATCAGATCCAGAAGAGCGTAACTTCGATCGCCAACACCTACTTTGCGTTTGCTGCTATTCTGCACGATGGGTCTGTCGTGACATGGGGCTCTGCAGCTCACGGTGGAGATAGCAGCCACGTGAGAGATCACCTGAAGCAAGTGCATCACATCTCAGCCACCAGCAGCGCCTTTGCGGCTATGCGAAGTGATGGCCGTGTCGTTTCTTGGGGCGTTCGCGTCCATGGTGGCGACAGCAGCTCTGTGCAGGATCAGCTGAAAGACGTCCAGCAGATTGCAGCTACGGAGTCTGCATTTTGTGCCGTCGCAGGCACTGAACTGATCACATGGGGCAAAAGCCCCAGATTTTTGATGCGTTGAATCAGAAAAAAATAGTCCACGTCACCCTCCCCTCTGTCCCTGCTCCCTCCCCCCTCCCCTCTCCCTTGCCCTTCCCCCTTTCCCTCTCCTTTCTCTTGTAAATCCACAACAAGGGTGGCGTCACAAACAAAGAGTGAAGCAAGGGTGGAATAAGAATGAAATAAGGGTGGAATAAGACCACAAGATAGTGAAATAAGGGTGAAATAAGGGACAAACAATGAAATAAGGGTGGAATAAAAATGAATTAAGGGTTGAAAAAGAATGAGATAAGGGTGAAATAAGACCACAAGATAGTGAAATAAGGGTGAAATAAGGGGACAAACAATGAAATAAGGGTGGAATAAGAATGAACTAAGGGTGGAATAAGGAAAAACCAGTGAAATAAGGGTGGAATAAGAGTGAAACCAGAGAGGGTACTCGGTCCTTATTTTGCGCCTCACACGCTTCCGCGGTGCTGCAGGAGTTGCACATGGGCATGGTCCAAAAACTTTATGGCCGGCACTATGACCTGCACCCGCTGAACATATCGCCAGAGGACGTTGGCCACGCCGGCGTGGCTCGTGCCAGGGTGTACATTGTCATGGCTTACCGGGGCCTGGTTACAGAGCACTATGACGTCCAAGAGATGTTTCGTCGTGTCTGCCAGAAGATGCGACAGTTTGTGTGTACTGAGCCTTCGGATTACTTTGTTGCCGACGAGGCGCAGTAACTAGCGACTAGCGAAACGAGTCTTTTCTGATTTCCTGAATCAGTTCGTGCTTGGATTGATTCGATCCTGACGTGAGGTGGACTTGACGCTTGAGTCATCGCACACTGCCCGCACCCGCAACATCATTCACAAGCCTAAGGCGGCCCGTCTGCATTGATTTAGGAGGGTTGCGCGCTGTTCACCCGCGTAAATTCGTTGGTCATTCACGTCGCCTGGCTGTAGGCAAAGTCCTGGAACTACTTGCTGAACCAGCGTGAAGGAAGAGCCCTGCGAGTCGTGAAAGCCATGTACCGCAAGCGCTTCAAGCAGCCAGCAGCCGCCAACAAGAACTTGGTCATCTTTTTGGGCGACAGCCCGCCTCGGGTGACCTGGAGCGCGTGCAGCAACAGGATACCCACCTTCAGGACCAACTCTGGCAAACTTTTCATACCAGCACAGAAACGCTGGATGTGCCCGAGAGAGCGCTTAGCTGCGCTGGGCTTCCCTGTGGTGCCTGCTTTGGCTTTGAGCTACGGAGTTCCCATGCTCCCATTCCGGGACCGGCACCGAGCTGCCCAAGTAGCAGGAAACTCGATGCATTTTGGGTGTGTGCTGTTGGTCCAGTTCTTGGCCCTTGCCTGTTTCACACCGCGAGGGCTGCTGCTGCAACAGAGGCAGAACTGCCAGTGGCTCCTGCCAGACCCAGACAGCGAGCCTGAGCAGCTTTCATGCAAACCAAATTTAATTTGTTGGCCAGCCAGCACGACAACGTCAGCAGCCGTGAAATCTTGAAATACGAGGGTTCGGCGAGGATGGCATGCAGAATGCAGGGGGGCGGGCACAGACTTCTGAATTGACACGGACTTTCCTTTGCTGCCTGGTGCGTGCCGCAGCCATTTCCTGCTTTGCCCACGATTTGTGCGAGGCAACACAATTCGATCTCAGCCATGCCTCCTAAGAAAGGCCTCCCAGTACCGCTACACAAACGCCAGAAGAAGACACCAGAAATCGAGCCAGTGATGACGGCGACAACTTCGAAGGCAAAGGCACGCCCGCCTGCTGCTCCGGGGAAGGCGAAGGCGAAGCCGCCTCCGCCGGCGAAAGCGGAAAGCCCGGGCCCCGTTGTCCGCGCGACCAGCCGGATCCTGAATTCAGAGAGTGAAGAGGACCTCGTTTATCCCAACGGCAGCACAATGAATGTGGGGCCGCGTGGCACCGCCTCATCCAACACAAGAAGAGTGAAGACCGAGAACTACAACTCGCAGAAGACCATGAAGAATTTCGTTGACACTTGGCTTTGTGGTTAATTTTAACGCTGCGCGACACGCCTCGGCCGGGGCAGCCCAGCCTGCCTAGTCCAGTTCAGCCCAACTCCCAGCACAAGCAGCCCAGCAGCCCGCACCTGCTGGTCCGGCCCTTATTTGTACCTTATTTCCCACGCGGCCCTTTGGGCCCTATTTCGCCCTTATTATTGTTTCCCATATCACGCTGCCCTTAAGTCAGCCTTATTTAGCTATTATTTCAATTCCCACCCACCCACGACCCCCTGGATAACAAATAAATCAACCGAACTTGTGCCCAATCAAGTGTTCCCCTAAAATCTCTCTTGAGGACAGCCACTACCACACGTGGTTGACCAGTCTCAACAGCGACTACCTCTCGTCAAGCACGTTACAGGGCGCGAGCCGTAACGACCTCTTCGCGATCATTACCTTTCTGACAGGCTGGTCGCCCGACGACCAGAAGCATGGAGCAAACAAGAACGAGATGGTGAAAGCTATCAAGGCAGTTGCTGGTCAGTGACAGTCAGACATGGTCGGTGGTCACTCTTGCGCTTCTTCGCGTGTTGTGGCTGGGTGGGTGGGTGGGTCACTGTTAACTGTTAACTCGATGCGCGTGAGTCTTTGTGCGCACTGCCAGGCGGAGGTCCGCAGGCGTGGGAGCCCTCTGGACCGGACAGCTTGGACCAGCAGCCAGATCCGCAAATTCTTGAAATTCCAGGCTGCGCTGATTGTGGCCCGTCTTCCATTGCTGTTGCTGCTGCAAAATTCAACGCAGTTCGCAGTCGTTTACAGTTGCAGAGTGTCACACGGGCAACCGAGGCCAGGGGAGATGTTCCTGCCGACAAGCTGGGGGGATGGTCGTACGAGCTCCCTCAGCACAAGCATGATGGTGCCCCAGCGCCCCTGCCCAAAGAGGTGCTGACGTATGTCAGGACAAAGACGTTGCCAGGGGCTTAAGTACGCTTTGCCTGTCCTCGCAAAGGCAATACAAGGCATGTAAGGGAAATACTTGCAAAATTGAGGCCGCCTTCACCGTTCAAGCTGCCGACCCAGACGGTGCCAGCAAGTCCTTCAAAAGAAACGGCTGGCCAGACCAAGCGCAGGCTTCCTGTGCCAAAGCCGGCGCCGCCGTTGAAGAAGCCGCGTGCGGAAGACGGCCCGCTTTCCAGCCAACCCCCAGGAATTGCTGCTGCTACCAAGCTCCTGAAAGGCATGAGCCTTGCAGGAGCATGTGTCCATGCGCTAACTCTGCACGCGTGCGCATCACACGATGTGATCCGGGTGGCTTTGCATATTGGCACTGACAGGACCCGGCGTTTCGCGTGTCCCGGAGATTACGAGTGCCGGGAAGGTTACCAACGCTGAGCCACTTCAAGACTCCAAGCAGACCAGGACGCACTTTTTCCCCGCCCGAAACTGCAGGGGCTCCTGCCTGGCATGCAGCTGCTGTGCACAGGACGGGGACTATGCTGATCGCTTCCAGCAAGTCCAAAGCCAAGGGCGTCCCAGTGTCATCGGCAGGAGTTTCGACAAGAGCCCCAGTGCCGCGCTTAAAAATGTAGCCTGAGCAAGATTCTTATCTGATGCGTCAGTGCATGTGTGTGTGTGGGCGCGGACGGTGTGGGGGGCGGGACCTTGCACCCTTGTTTATTCTTCCCGTTTTTCACCCATATTCCACCATTCCCTCATTGTCTCACCCTTATTTCACTCTTATTTTTTTGTTTCGGCTCGCGTGCGCAGGCAGGCTTAATTTTAGTAGGTGGTAAACGCTTGCGTGCGCCGCGGAAGTTATCAGGGAGGCTCGCAAAAGAGGCTACAATCATACAACCGCAACAAAGACGGAGGGGGGGGGGAGCGTCACAAGTAGCATTCATTCAGATTCATGGGGGAAGGGTTGGGTTCGGGAAAAATGCCTCCGGCCGAGAGAAGCCTCAAATAAGGAGATCAGACTCAGACGTCCTTGTTTCACCCTTATTTGCCCTTATTTCACCCTTATTTTCACCCTTATGTCGCACTTATTTCCCTTGTTTCATCCTTATACCACCCTTATTTCACCCTTATTTCACCCTTGCTTCGACCTTGCTTCTTGCTTCACCCTTATTTCCCATCTCATCTTCTTTCTCGCTTATTTGCACGCTTGTTTCACACATATTTCCCTAGTTTCACATTTATTTCACCCTTAGTTCACCCTTATTTCACCCTTATTTCACCCTTATTTCACCCTTATTTCACAACTCATCCCAAACTGTGGGACTCAGGAACCAGGTAACCAGTCCCCTCCCTCCCCCCTCCCTCCCTCGCCCAGTGCAAGTTTGTCCGTCTGAGGCCTCCGAGCGCGGCTCACAAGCAGGATCTGCTGCTGGCAGCATGATGAGCAATAAGAAGAGGCGCCGCATCATCACAGACGAGGCCATTCTTGAAACTGAGTATTTCCGCCCGCCGCCTTTGTTTCTTAAGCCCCTTAATAGCACGCAGTAGTAAGGTGAGCTTCTCCGACGACGAAAATGAAGAGGAGAGAAGTGACCTTGAAGAGCCAGCAGCAGGAGACAACCTTCCCTTCCTCGCCCAGAGCCCCGCTGGCACGATCTACGTGTGCCATGAAGTATTGGCAGCCAAGGTGCCTCTTCCAAAGAAGGGGGGCGAGTGGAAACTTGTGAAGGATCGCTCGCAGATGCATGACGGGCTGCCTGCCATCCGATTGGTGGCAACGGGCAACCCCGACATCCCCGACCGAATGGTGCATCATCTAATGGTGTGCTCCAAGGTCCAGCCTCTTGAGCAACTCGGGCTGATCCCTACACATGCTTGCCCCCTGCTTCGATTTGTTGTTTCTTTGCATTTGCGTGAAGCTCGCGCAAAGGCTGGACGGAGAAGACATCGCCTTGGAACGCATCGGCGAGCCAGAAAGCGATGAGGAGGATTATGATGATGATGACATGGAACCCGAAGAAGGCGGTGAAGACGAGCTCGAGGAAGAATTGGAGATGGAGGAGCCTGAGAAAGCAGTGCTCATGGAGGATTTCGGGCCTGACGACGAGGACACTGGTGCAGGACACGGGAAGTAGGAACCAACTGAGTGTCTTGCACATAACGACATAAGGGTAAAATAAGTGCAGAATGCGCGCAGCAAGGGTGAACCAAGGGCGGCGTAAGAGGTGAATAAGGGTAAAATAAGTGTAGAATAAGGGTGAAATTATTGGGAAACTAGTAAGGAAAAATAAGTGTGGAGTAAGCAAGGGTGAACCAAGGGCGACATGAGACGTATCAGTTGTTGAACTATGGGTAGAACAAGCGAGGAAGAAGCGAAATAAGGGCAAAATAAGCACAGAATGAGCGACGCAAGGGTGAAGCAAGCAGCAAGGGCGAAGTAGGGTAGTGCGTCGTTGGTCAGGAGACTATCAGAATGCTGACGAAGCGGCCGAAGAGGCCGTAGGGGCTGACGAAGAGGAAGAGGAGAGCGGCGGCGGTGATTTGTGAGTGCAAGCAGCCCACAGCCCAGCATGATGTTGTGTCCCTTCAAACTCTATTTTACTCTGCAATGTATGATTCCACTAGTCCAGGGAGCCTGTTTAACAGCTGGGCTGCGGCTGATTGAGTAAGTCTGCGGGCCTATCATCGAGTTTGCCCCTGTGCAATTCAGCGCGCAACTCTGACACACCTGGTCAGGAGGGACTCTCAGGCAAGGAGGTGCATTTCTCCTTGCAAGACGTGTACTACAGGGCAATTAAGGAAGGCCGGAAGACAACGGAGTACCGGGCAAACTCAAGGCACTGGGCCCCACGGATAGAGGGAGCCCGTGTAGCCGTCTTCACGAGTGGACACTTCGCTTTATTATTAGCGCCAGTAGAGTTCGGCCTCACAGCTGCAATACAACACTTGGGGTAAGATGTAGCATGCTCTCAAATCGAGGATACAACCCGAAGACCAGACTGCGTAAGCGCATCACCTGGGTCGAGACGATTGGGATTGAGGAGGCGGCTGCGCGCGGGGTGCCGCTTGCGCTGATAGGACAGTATGACGAAGTCCTGGCGGTGCATTTTGTGTGACGGAAGGTGTCAGAAAAAGACTGCGCAACATAGGTATATAGGCCCAGACAAACTACCCCAGAAATGCTTGCGGCGCCCTTTGCGTCCTCTTATATAGGGCTTCAAGTGTTTGGTGTGACGACACCTTGCCTTGCCACGCCGGGCATCGCTCCCCTTGCCTTGCCACGCCGGGCATCGCTCCACACTGAGCTGAACCGTGCCGAGAGAACAAAACGGACGTGTGCACGGTTGCGTCGCGGCAAGCAGTGCGTAGTGTGCACCGCAGGAATTCTCATTAAACGCCTGTGTACAGCCAGTGTAACTCTCAGGTCCTACCAGCGCTGATTCCGGAACGTATGGATGGGACATCCGTGCTGAGGCAGGTGGCTTTGTTATTGTTGTATCGACGAGGGAGCGTCCGGGGAGAGGTGAGAGGGGGAACAGGGAGAGGTGCTAGGCTTAGACTAGCCTCACCCGCACTAGAGACGAGAACGTAATTGAAAGGGTCAGTTTCTGAGAAAATTTCAGGCACAAAAATGAAAAGACTTCTTAAATACAGCGTACTATTCTGGGATACGCATAGATGTTTTCGGATTCACCAGCCAGCTTAGGGTTACCTGACCTGAGGCCGGCGTTGTCGGCCACAGACTGCAAAGGGTTCTATGAAACTCGGTTTGTTTGCAGCGCACGCGCAATAATAACAGTAATAGATTAAAATTGTGTTGTTCTTTGAATGAAGATCTTTGAAGTCTTCCAGTCCCGTTTGCTGCAATCTGCAATTGAGGCAGTCATCAAGTTGCTTCACCATGGCTTGACTGCCATGACTGGCCGCGGCTTGGACTTCTTCATCCCAGATCCGGCGCACTGGCTCACGCTGGACACTTTGGACTCAGTGCAGCTTCCACCAGCATCACAACGACCGATGCTTCGTGCTGCTGCCCGGTTGCATTCAGAACAACCCTACCCCCCCCCCCCCCCCCCCCCCCCCCCCCCCCCACCTCAGTTTAAGCCGAACGGTGCTTCTGGGTACATTATTGGAAGCGTGCCGAATGTCTCAGCCGTCACTGCCCTTAGCAGAGTCCTGCTTGCGCAAGACCATGGTCGTTGACTGTGACAACCTAATCTAATCGGATCAGATAGTGCGGGCTTGAGGGGACTTGAAGGAACTTGTGCATGTCCACTGCCGTCCAAACGTCCGCCCCTCATGACACGTGTGGTCTCGATAGTTTGAAGCCTTTATTGCAACCTTCTCTCCCTTATGACGACCTCCAAGAAGGGGCTGAACGAGATTTCATGTTCGGGCAAACCCTAAATCCCCTAACTAAAGCCTTTGCACCCCCCCCAGCCCTAGAAACAAGGGTCAACTAAGGGTCAAACAAGGGTCAAATAAGGGAAGTAGGGGAAATAAGTGTAAACAATTGTGAAATAATGGTGAAATAAGAGTGAAATAAGGATCAAAATAGAAAGGGGCACATAAGGAAAAGCAATGGTGCAACAAGGGTGAGATAAGGATGAAAAAAGGGCCCCAAAAAATTAAACCCCCAAGCCCAGGTAGAGGACGAGGAGTCCCAGCAAACCAAAAGTTGGCGCTACCTGTTTGGCGTTCTCCGTTTACGTGGTGACCTGGAGGCTGAGCTCGCGCACCCGTTATGGAACAGTATGAAACGGGCGATCGACCACTCAGGACTCGGCGAGAGCTCCCTCAAGCTAAGCATAGCCGCGAACTTCTCGCACGGGAGCTTCCTGAGCGGCGACAAGGCCGAGAAGCAGCGTGAGTGCCTCCAGGCCTGGATGGAACGCCAGCCAACCGAATGGTTTGAAAACCTCTCGATGGAGCTGGGCGTCGAGTCCGAAGAGGCACCTGTGCCCCAGATCGACGAGCTCATGCGAAGCAGAGCCATGAGACGGCGAGGCAAGTTTGCTACTCGGTACGTCCTTACGTCACCTTTTTTTACCCTTGTGTCGCCCTTATTTCACCCTTATTTCACCCTTATTTCACCCTCATTCCCTTAGTTCACCCTTATTTCACCCTTATTTCACCCTTATTCCATTATTTCATCCTTAGTTCACCCTTATTTCACCCTTATTTACCCTTAATTAACCCTTATTTCACCCTTATTTGTCCTTAATTGACCCTTATTTCACCCTTATTTCACACCTGTTTGACCCTTACGTTTCCCGTGTTTGACCTTATTCACCCGAAAAAAACATAAACGTAAACCCTGCAAAGCAGCAAATCACAGAAAAATCGGGCCCAAAAAAGCTTCAAACGGTCAAGCAAGCCTCTTAAAACAGAAGCAGCCAAGGTCAAAACAAAGGCGTGGTTTGGGATGAACTCCTCGTTCAGGGACCTCATCCGCGAGTGGCCGATTCTGGCGGCGTCTGCACAGGCCATGATGGAGTTGGGCTCACCAGCGACTGGCTCTTGAAATAAGTGTGCATGCCCACGCAGTCAGCAAGCCTAAAAAGTCAATGTTGATGCCAGCAAGGAGCCTGAAATAACATTTATGTAATGAAGAATGGGCCTTCCGAATACCGGAGCTTCAGAGATTCCAGGGAAGGGAAAAGGAGGGGGCTGTGTAAAATGAATAAACAGTGAGCAATACGGCAATACTTAAGTACTGCTTTCCAACTCCCACACAAATAAAGAATACAAACGCGCGACGCCCAGGACGAGGACGAGGGCGATGAGGCCTCCAATGAGGAAAACGAGGAGGCAGACGAGGAACAGCCGAACCAGCCGGCCCCAAAGAAGAAGGCCATGACGAAGGCAGAGCTGTACCGCTACTATGCAGGGAAGTCACCCTGCGAAATGTTTGCTGAGTTTCTTCAACAGGCAGAACTACGTCAGCACGGAATTATTATTGTGGAAATAGCTGCGGCATTGGAGCACAAGTACGCGACTGACCTCAAGGCCCAAACCAAGCCAAAGGACATGCTACAGTGGTGTGTGGAACGAGCACAAGGACCAGCCGTAAACTAGGGGAACTTGAGAATTAAACAGCAGTGAAACTAAAGCTATTGTACAAATGTAAACACGCAGAGGGCATAAGTAGCGGGCAAGAGTTACAACCTAATTAGAACCCCGCCCTGCGCATCCACAAGGACGGTCATGGTGGACGACGGCCAAAGCGATCTTGGGGACTGCTTTCAGTCTGGATTTCTGCGAGAAACTTGGCTTGACGTGCAGCATTCGTCCAGCTATGACAATGGACCGGAACAATGTCTGGATGGTAGAAGCTCGGCACTCACTCAGGGTCACGACTAGGCAGGTGCTCCTTATTATTATTCGTCTGCTTGTTCTGGGATCCCTCAGGCCTTATTTCCTGTAATACAAATCAACCTTAATTTTAAATGCTGAGCCGGTCCGGCCCACGTCCCAATGCCCATGAAATTCCAAAACCTTTTCCATCCAAATCTTAAATCCAACCTCAAAGGAGTCACCAAAAAAAGCTTGAGGCTTTAGGTTTTGGGAGGGTTGAGGAGGGGGTGTGTAGTATGTTGACGATTTTTACAAGGGGTTCCTTAAACCCTGCCCAGGAATCGTCCCCCTAGCAGGGTGTCAGGGAAGGTTTTGGTGGGAGGGTTTCAGGGAGGGTTTCAGGGAGGGTCTCTGGAGGCCAGGCATTTTGGGCGACCGTTTTGTGGGAGCAACAATACAAGCAGCGTTCCGGTCAGGGGGAAGGAAACCAAATCAAGGTCTGCTTGTTCTGGGTCAATGCGTCAAATAAGGAAAAAATAAGAGTAAAATAAGGGTCAAATAAGCGTCAAACAAAAAAAATAAGGGTCAAATAAGCATCAAATAGCAAAAGCAAATAAGGGTCAAATAAGTGCGCCAATGAGGGTCACAGCGTCAGATAAGAAAAATAAGGGTAAAATAATACTAAAGTAAAAGGAGAATCACGGTAAAATATGCGTCGAACAGGAAATAACAATGGTCAAACAAGAGCCAAAGAAGGAACAATACAGGCCCCCACCCCCTCCTCAGGAGGAGCTCGAACTGCTGGAAACTGCTGTGAACTTCGCGCAATGCTTGGCCAGCAATGTGGTTTGGTCACAGGTGGTGCACCGCTACGCACTGCCCGGCGCAGCCTGCGTGCTGCTGTCCGATGACGCCTTCGAGCGCGTTGAAGGCAGACCGTTTACTTCTTATAATGTACACCTACTAATTAGAACTTATTGCGCTGTTGTGCTTCCCCGACACGTGTATGGAGGCATGGACTTTCTGAAGTCCATAACAGAGACAGTTCTCCACCTTCACAAGAAGCAAACGAGCAACAAGTATATCAGTTCGGTCCTGGAAGACATCGCGTGGCATCGCGAGTCACTTTGCTTGGAACTGTTGGCCACGTTCGTTCAAACCGGCTTCGACCCAGACTACGAAGACACCCGACACCTCCTCAAGCTTCTGAAAACAGGACGGGGTTCACAGCGGGTTCCAGATTCGTCCTTATTCTATTCATATGTTTCCTGCGTTTCCTGTAGTTTACTCCTAATTTCACCTCTTTTTTGGCCCCTATGTCGTTGGGTTATTTGTTGTTTATTACTGCGCCGGGATGTCGGGTTTGCGGGGAAGAGCCCAAACCACACTATGTGACAGCCATAGTCTGGGCTTCTTTGCGCTTTGCCTTGCAGGAACTTCTACGACGAAGGACGTGCTGGAGTCGACTTTCAACCACCTTAAAGATCTTTCGTCCCGGCATGCGAAGAACCAGAAGTTCGGGTATTTTACCCGCTGGCTCTACGCAGTTTGTGCACCGTACGGCAAGGAATCAGCTCCGCAACTCCTGCCCAGCAAAGCCGACTGGTTCACATATCGCTCAGCTGACGTCCGCCTGCTGCGAGAATTCAATGGCCTGGGCAATGTCAAAGGCCAGCGCATGCCGGAGATCCGCTACGGGGAGGACCAGCGTTTCCCGCAGCGGCCGGACGAGATCAAGTTCCGAAACGCAGGCCCGCTGTCTCACCACAAGTCTGCTGCTGCTCTGGCGTACGCCATGGAAGATGCTGGCAGCGAGTTTGCCAACGTGAGGCACGCTTGGCTCGGGGCCCTCTTCACTGCTGGGCAATGTTTTTTGCACACGACAAGCGGCGAGTACTTCATGTCGCTTGGATTCCGCAAGTGGAGCGCGCTGGGCGCCAGACTCAACAAGGTGACCAGCCGGCAGGGCCAGGACTGGCTAAGGGACATAAGGAAAAAGAAGAAGTAATTGCGGGTAAACTAATGGAATAAAAGTGAATTAAGGGACCGAAATAAGGTCAGGCCAGGGTCAGATAAGCCTGAATAAGGACAAAATAAAGGGAAATAAGGGAAGAATAAAGAAAATTGAAGGGCAAATAAGGGAAAAATAAATGTGAAATAAGGGCGAAATAAGGGTGAAATAAGCGCAATTAAAGGAACAAAGTTTAAAAAAAAGGCTAAGTAAGGCTGGAATCAAAAAAGGTTAGAATAACGACTTGCAGGAGTACTTGGTGGGCATGGCAGAGGACAATGAGCCTCGCTGGATGCATAACTTTGACATCCAGGGCGCTGAGTGGCTTGCTGTTGCAACGGAGCCAGTTCTGCCCTGCTGCGTGCCAGAAGAGCTTCAGCTGCAGCAGCAGACAATGGTTTTGCAGGTCAACGAGCTGCAGAACTTGATCTACGCCGCGGTGCACCACGGCACCTTCTTCAAGGTGGAGGAGCTCAAGCTGTTCCTGCGTACTCTGAAGGCCCCCTTTCCCAGGAAGAAACCAGGCCAGAAAGGCGGCGTGAAAAAACAGGAGTACGCAACCGCCTTGGTCAAGTGTCTGCAGCCAGCAGCGGACGAGGGCGAGGTGGCCCGGATGGTCGCCGGAATCCTGGGCAAAAAAGGCCCTGTGTGCGGCATGGCCGCAAGGAACAAGAAGAAGAGGCAGCGCGGGACACCAACCAGGACAAGGGCAATGGCTGGGGGGAGGGGAGAGTTTAGGCTAGGTAGGTGCCTGGGCGGCGTTGCCTGTGTGAATGAACAGATGCAACAATGCCCAGGACCAAGCTGGCGAGAAACAAGCTGGCGAGGACCAAGCTGGCGAGGACCAAGCTGGCGAGGGCGAGGGCGTTGCTGGGCAGGATGCTTGACAGGCATGCCAGAATCCAGTTCCTGCCTTTGGTTAAGGTCTAGTGGCTTGGTTTTTTTTTGACTGTTCATGAAGCAATTTTTGTGTGTGGAGTCATCGCCTAGGTCCTGAAGGGTAATTTGCACCCTACAGACAAAGCGCGGGTGCACAAGGAGCACCAGGCGAAAGCCAAAGCCCGGGCGGACCGGTTGGCCAATTTGACACCGGACAACCTGAAGCGCCTTCTCCCTGGGCAGGGGACCATTCACGACTTCAATATCGAGTATCATCCTGTCCAGAAGCATTTCAGGATCAGGTATCCCTGCGACTTGTTTGTGTGTAGCAGCCGTACTTCCAGGCATAATTAATTAATACGACTATCCTGACTACCCCCCAATCCACTGATTTTTGGCAGACTGATTGAGGCGATGAGTTGGCAACAGAAGCTCAGTCATGCACTCGCAAATGGCCGACACTGCGCTGCGCGGACAAAACGGACGCCCTGGAGCAGGTGCTGGATTTCTGCTACAACCGCTGGAACAGGCTGCACCCAGAAAGAACTTTCGAGAGGCTCAGTCTGTGGCGAAATTCATTTCCAACGCTTAAAGACTTAGGCAGACAGCTAAATTTTGGCGGTGTTCGTGATTTGGTCCTGAAAAGGCCCCCACGAGCCGCCTTGCAAGAGTACTGTGACTCGCTGGCGTCATCGTCCCGGGACTGAGAAGTACTTTGCCACGGGGTTGACCTTGCCTGCACCTGGTCACCGTTTCAAGTAGCCTTCGTCTGGCGACGTCATGACACTTTAAGCTCGGATTTTAGAAGACAACCCATGAGCAATGAACAGCGCTCACAATAACTCCAGAAGAGATACATACATCGCATATAGTCGAAATATACAAGATCAAATAGTCGCCGGGAGTGGACGCAGAACTGGGCATGCTGTCCAGTGGTGTGATTTGCGCACGCCCGCTGCAGTCAAAAAGATCCTTATTTTACCCTTTTGCGACCCTTGTTTTACCCTTAGTTGACTTTTTCCTGTCGTGTACCCTAATGTTACCCTTAATTCACCCTACGTTGCCTTTCTTTTCATTATGTCATTCTTATTTGACCCTGGCCTGACCTTACTTGAGAGCAGGGCGAACGAAAGCTAGGGCGCAGGAACATGCCCCCCCCCCCCCCCCCACCAGCCTCCAAGGATTTCTTGTTTGCGTGGTCACCCCCAGAGACATCCCAAGGGGCATCTCAAGTGGCTTTTCAGGAGTTTGTTCATTCTTTCTCTTTTTTTTTTTTTTTTTGGGGGGGGGGGGGGGGAGTTGGGACTGTAGGATTTGAGGGTCTTTCCTCCAGGACTGACTCTAGGAGGAGTAGACCTTCAAGGCCCAAGTGCCGACTTTTTGTTGGTTTTCAGAGCGGAAGGTGTCGGGTTCAGGGTTGATTGTGCAGGGCTTTGTCGAAAGGGCTCCGGGTTCAGGATGTAGGGTGTAGGTTTCCCTAAACCCTAAACCCTTATCCCTTAACCCTAAACCCTCCAACACCCGAAGCTCTCTCCCTGGGCGGGAACGGCGAGCACAAACCGTGGCTGCTGGGCCCCCCCCCCCCCCTGGCAGCTTAAACCTCCTATATATCGGGCCCCTGAGTGCTGTTTGGCCCACGAACAAACTGGTAAACAAGAACTCCCGCAAGCTCCCAAAGAGCTAGCTTTCGTGATTTCACCCTTAGTTCACCTTTGTAGCGTTTGAGGCTTTGGGGGCTTAGCGTTGAGGGTGACACCTGCCGCGCACCCTGTTGCCCAAGGTGAATGTGAAAGTGGCCCATGTGTGTGAGTGCCCCATGAAAAGGATACCTAAAAGCTACTGAATACCTCTTTCTTTCCGCTGCCCCCGTGCGAGTCTTATAGACCATGTTCCCAAATGCCCCAAGCAAGACAAGAAGTGGCTTGCAAGCGATTGCTTCTTCGACGGCCACGCTCTCTACTCTTTGGGCCTACGTGAGCGAGAGCCAGCAAGCCGAGGCGCGGGAAAGGGGAGCCCTATTATTAGAACCCTGAACACGCTGGGCCCGTGCTCATTGGCCCCCTTCATTCATGCTTTTTTTTCCATGGGAGAGCCTTATAAAATTTGCTGGGTGCAGACTGCGTCGAAAGAGAGGGTGAAATAAGGGTGACATAGAAATAAGGGTGAAATAAGGGTGAAATAAGGGTGAAATAAGGGTGAAATAAGGGTGAAATAAGGGAAATAAGGGTGAAATAAGGGTGCAATAAGGGTGAACTAAGGGTGAACTAAGGGTGAAATAGAGACAAGGTTGAAAAAGAGACCCCTGCCCCTTTGCACGTATGTCAAGACTGTACTGACTGTGTGTGCCGACAGCCCTCTCGTATCGAGAAAAAGAACGTTGGGTGCCCCTGGGCCCTTCACACCCCGAGGCCCCGGGTTTTTTGCTGTTTCACCTGCCATTTCTTCTTTTGGCTGCCAGATGGCTGGCTGTGGTCAAATGATGATTTGGGCGGAGGCCTTGTGCCGACGCCGCCAGCGAATCAGTGTTCAGGTACAGACAGAGCCAGGACCTTCGACCATTGACAAAGACGCGCAAGCAAACAGAGGCATGAGTGCAAGCGAAAAGGATTTTATGGAATGCTATATCCGGAAGGCTCGAGAGCTTGAAGAGATCGTGGCAGAGCAGGCAAGGATGATTGAGCGGTGCGAAGATGAACTTCGCATCTTAAGGCGAGAAGCCCGAGAGCATGCACTGCTCCGGGAGCATCATCATCGAGTTCTTCTTGAGTTGAGAGAGGCAAGAGCGCCAGATCCGATAGTTGTGACTGTTAGCGGTAGCAGCTACCACCGAGAAGACTGCGGCAATATCAGTCGCTCTAGAAGGCTGTGTGCATACGGGCCCTGCCAGAACTGCCTTCGCTGAAAGCACGTCAGGCGTGCGGGGATAGAAACGGCGAGAGACCTGATCCATGTCAAGAAGGGTGAAACAAGGGTCACTATGAGGTTTAGGGCATGGGATTGAAACGCTAGTGACTGGGTCTGACTGGGTGTAAACCTGTTTATCCTTGGCCCCGCCATCATTCAAATGCACCTGTCTAGCCACCCTGAACCCGAACCCCTAAACCGAAAGCCCTGAGGCCATAGTATCTGGCTGTTTAACCTGTTTGGACACGAGATTCCATATAAGTCTCAAGGGCCCTAAACCCAAAACTGCGAGGGTCGTCCGCTTGGCCGCGCTGGCCCTGCTTCCGGTGGACCCCACTGAGCTGGAGTCCGGAGTTTGTGGGAACGCAGGCGGGGGGTTTGGGGCACGACGGCCCTGCTCTTTACTGGATTGTGTCCGAGGCGCGGGAAAGGGAGAAAACACGCCGGTTGCGTACTCATTGACCCCTTCATGCGTTTTCCCATGGGAAAGCCTTCAAAGTTGCTGGGCGCAGACTGCCTCAAACTAAAGGCGAAATAAGGGTGAAATAAGGGTGAAATAAGGGTGAAATAAGGGTGAACTCAGGGTAAATTATGGCGAAATAAGGGTGAATTATGGCGAAATAAGGGTGACTTATGGCGACACAAGGGTGAATTAAAGGTGAGATGAGGAAAGTAGAGATGAACTAAGAGTGAAATAAGGGAACGTAGGGCGAAATAAGTGTGACGTACGGGAAATTATTGGCGAAATGCTTGTGAAGGGTGAGATAAGGGAAATAAGGGGAAATTAGGACGAAGTAAAGGTGAAACAAGAACTTCCGAGAAGCCCCTGAATAGCGTGTCAAAACCCTAAACCCCCAAGGCCTCGGCGTCTTAGCTACCAAGTCATCAAATAGGCGCCGCCCTAAACCCTAAGCCCCTCAACCCCTAGCAGCAGACCTTGGGTTATAGAATTTATATAGGGTTTGTGTCCGGAAGGCCCTGGCATACTGTGGGCTGCTCACGTTCGCGGCGCACTACTGTCTCTGTGATTTTCTGACATCTTCATTCTCCGAGACTTGACTGATGATAGAGCTGAGTTGCAAGCTGGCATTTGTTTGGGGCACGACGGCCTTGCTCTTTACTGGATTGTGTCCGAGGTACTGATTATGGCGAGCCCCATTGCGGCGCTGTGAAGAGCCCTGGTCTGAAGTCTGGGTACCCTAAACCGCTAAACCCCTAAACCCTTAATTAAGAAGCCCTAAAACCCCTTGAACCCTTCAAGAGTCGAGTCGAAAAGGGAATCCACTAAACTCTAAACCCTAACACCCTAAAACTCCAAAACCTAAACACCCTAAACCCCAAGAGTCGAAGAGAAGGGTGCCCCTAAAACCCTAAACCGTTAACCCTAGCAACACTAAACCCGAACAAGCCTAAACTCACTAAATCCCTGAAACCCTGAGAGTCAGCCCTAGAACCCCCGAACCCATAAAGCCCTGGCTCTAAACTCAAGAAGAGTCGAAGTTCTCTAAGTGGTTTGAGGGTTTAGGGTTTACAAGCTTCGGAACCCCGAGCCCTAAACCCTAACCCTAAACCAAATATAGACCCTTGGATTGCACAAGTGGAGCGCAAGAAAGGGTGGACAGTGGCCACAGCCGAGCAAACTCTCGGGAGCCGGCAGCCAGCCACCACATCTTCTACACACTGAACAATGGCAAGACTTGGGAGTTCACGACGGAGCTTCACAAACTTCGATTACCACCGACATCACCATCCCCCACGCGGCGGCCTATTCTTCTTGCCGTGCGTGCAACACGCAAAGACTCCAGAGGGAGTCCGCACGGTTCACAGGATGAGACTCGAGACGATGAGACTATTCGGGGACCCCCCGACTGACCGCCCCTAATACCCTAAACCCTAAAGCACCCTAAACCATAAACCCGAAAAAGATCTAAGGCCTAAACCGCCCACAAGAACAAAAACAAACCCTGGGCAACCTGAATTTTAGTAAACCCTCAGAATCCCTAAGCCCTCGTGGAAAGGGAGAAAACACGCCGGTTGCGCACTCATTGGCCCCTTCATGCGTTTTCCCATGGGAAAGCCTTCAAAGTTGCTGGGTGCAGACTGCCTCAAACTAAAGGCGAAATAAGGGTGAAATAAGGGTGAAATAAGGGTGAACTCAGGGTAAATTATGGCGAAATAAGGGTGAATTATGGCGAAATAAGGGTGAATTATGGCGAAATAAGGGTGAATTAAAGGTGAGATGAGGAAAGTAGAGATGAACTAAGAGTGAAATAAGGGGAACATAGGGCGAAATAAGTGTGACGTACGGGAAATTATTGGCGAAATGCTTGTGAAGGGTGAGATAATAAGCAAGGGAAATAAGGGGAAATTAGGACGAAGTAAAGGTGAAACAAGAACTTCCGAGAAGCCCCTGAATAGCGTGTCAAAACCCTAAACCCCCAAGGCCTCGGCGTCTTAGCTACCAAGTCATCAAATATAAATAAGCGCCGCTTTTATGCCCCAAAATCCCCGTTCGAGTAAGCCCTAAACCTTAAGCCCCTAAACCCCTAGCAGCTGGTCTTGGGTTATGATATTCCGGAAGGTCCCTGGCATAATGTGGCTGTGTAATATGAGAATAAGACCCGCGATCCGCCCTAAACCTTGAACCCGAGAACGGCCGAGGCTTTGGGAGGCTCAAAAGACTCGGACGCCTTGGCCGCGCTGGGCGGGAACGCAGGTGGGGTTCTTTTACATTTTAGGGTTTTAAGGTTGAGGGTTTAAGGGGTTTTGGGGAAAAACGTTTGTCGGGTTTATAGAGGGGGTTTAGGGTGGGTGTGTGTGTGGAGGGTGGGGTGGGGGGAGGGAGGCCGGAGAGGTTTCCCGTTTCCCTTTGTGCTATTACTATTTCACCCTTTTTTAAACCTTTGCTCAATTTGGTTTGGATTGAAGGGTTTGGGGTTTGGGGGGTGACTTTGGGTGATTTCGGGGGTTTGGGGGGATTTTTGGGGTTGTTGTGAGGTTGCGGGACCTTTTAGTTTCTTTGAAGGGTTTTTTCAATCTTTATTTATCCTGGCCTTGAGGGTTTAAAGACCAGAAACCCCCCTGAAACTTTGGCTCAAGGATGAAGGGCGCGCGCCAGGGTTTGGGGGTTGCCTTCCGGATTCCTGTTTTGGCCCCGAGGTTGCCCTTTGGTGGTTGATAGTTTCGGTTCTCAACAGCTGTGTGATCTTTTCCTAGCGGTGAACGCTGACTCCATGGCAAGCGGACACCGCGATTCCAAGTCACTGCCTCGGCCGTCTTGCGCCCCTAGTCCTCGCCCCTCCCGAGCACCGCGGCACTCGACATCAGCCCAGCTTCCTGTCCAGCCATCGACACCGTCGTCTTCCTTGCCAGCCCAGCCTCCTGTCCAGCCATCGACACCTTCGTCGTCTTTGCCAGCCCAGCCTCCTGTCCAGGCGACTGCGCATGTGCTGCCAGGGCCAACACCGTTTGGGGCACTGCCGACGATGAGTAGTCCCATGGGAATGCAATGGCCACTGTTCCAGCCCTGGCTCGGGATGTGGGCTGCGCACTGGCCGGCGTGGCAGGCGCAGTCACCGCCGCCACCGCCGCCACCGCCGCCGCCACCGACACTGCCAGAGCAGACGATCGTGTGTTCTCGCGTGACTGGGCTGTATTTGCATAGCGCTTGGGTTTTGAGTTTTTGTGGCGTGGTTTAACCTGACAGCCCCGGTCGCCGGTCGTGCTTCTGTTCAGGAATTAGATCGCGCGCCACAGGAATACAGTGGCACACATGCAAGAGCTCACAGAGTGGATCTCAATGCCGCAACTCGACATGTTTTGCAGGCTAACGGCTGTGTCTATCATGTTGTTGGTTTCATTTGAATTGTATACAGATGATGAGCGCAGACAGGAGGGAAGTTGCGAGACAAACCCGAGGACAGGCAAGAGGCGCGACGCAGGGAGCTGCTGAATGACGTTCCGCTGCAGGTGAGGACACGCACGGCGCTGCTGAATGATGTTCCGCTGCAGTTGAAGCAGCCCAGGACGCCGACAATGCCAGCGCAGTCCATGGACCCTCCGGCGCAACCAGCTTCCCGCTCGCGCTCCCCGAAACGGCAGAGCCGCAATTGAAGACAGATAATTAGCTGCGCCTTTCTTTTTGCACTCGTGCTCATGATGCTATGCCATTGGCTGAGACGGGGTGGCCTTACTGCCACTAAGCACGTGTGTGTTTAATCTGCACTCATTGGCAGACCACAAAAAGGAGCTTGGACCATGCCCAGCATTTGCACTGAACAAAGTACACTTAAGCATGTCGCCTTTTCGCCCTAGGTCACCCTTAAATTACCCTATGTCATACTTCTTTCCCTCATGTTCCCCTTACTTCGCCCGAATTTTCTTTATTTTGGTCTTATTTCGCCCTAATTTCCCTTATATATGCCATCCTTATTTCACCCTTGTTTCCTGCATCTCAGCCTGAATTTACTTCATTTTCGCCTCAACTTCCCTTGTCTCACCCTTATTTCACCCTTATTTCCCTTATCTCAGCCTGAATTTACCTCATTTTCGCCCCAAATTCCCTTATCTCACCTTATTTCACCCTTATTTGCCTTATTTCACCCTTAATTTACGCTTATTTCGCACATATTTCGCTTTCATCTCCATAAGTTCGCCCTAATTTCCTTTATTTCACCCTTATTTCACCCTTATTTCCCTTATTTCACCCTTATTTTACTCGTAATTCGCCTCCAGCGCATACTTGGGCAGGTGCTCACTGGCACGCCGGCAGCGGCGGAATGCAGGGTGTGGAAAAGCGTCGACAACCCGCCCTAAACTCAAAATCAAACCTGCCAATGCAAGTCTTATCGGCCAAGCAGAGCACAGGGTTTTCTCCCACACGCAGTTTCATCAACTGTGTCCGGGATGTCACAAATACCCATCCAAAAGTTGAACCCTCCTTATAAACACCTCACCCCCCGCTACTGCCCTGAAAAGCCACATTCCTGGAACAACCAACCCTACTGCTTGAATCCCCAACCTCCCACACTAGTCCAAACCAAAGCCCCCCAAACCCCTGCCAAAGGTTCTGCCAACTCTAAACATTGCATTGGAACACTGCCGCTTGACTTCTAAACACCTCACCCCCCGCTACTGCCCTGAAAAGCCACATTCCTGGAACAACCAACCCTACTGCTTGAAACTCCGAATCCCCAACCTCCCACACTAGTCCAAACCAAAGCCGCCCCAAACCCCTGCCAAAGGTTCCGCCAACTCTAAACATTGCATTGGAACACTGCCGCTTGAAACTCCGAATCCCTGGAATGACCGTTTTCTTTAAGCAGCCCTTATTTTACTCTTATTCTGCCATTATTTTTGGGAAATAAGGGAGGATTAAGGCAAACCCAGCCAACCGAAATAAGCGCTTAATAGGCGGCTATTAGGCCCTTATCTCTCTGACCCCTTTTTTTGCTTATTTAACCCTTATTTCTTTTGGGCCTCCTTATTCCGTGGGGTGGGGGGGCATGGGGGGGGTGGGCGTGGACTCCCATGACTTCGCGGCTGCCACGAAACGCACGGGCAAAAAACAGCACGAGTGAACCAACGTGAACGCAAGCCTCGTCGGAAATCTCCACACTTCATTTCTTCACTGACCCGAAAATTCGAGACCCTCTCAGGGGTGAGCTCTCACACCAAAAACCTGCCGGATGCCTCTTTTCTGAGCTGGTACGCCTTCGGCGTGGGCTGGGCCTGCGCCAGAAGCTGGAGTTGCGCTCGCCTTCCTAGATGGAGCCTCAGGGGCCCTGGAAGCCTGAAAGCGCCGAAGCCATCAAGAAGCCAGCACTGCTCCAAAGAGAATGGAGCCTGACCTGCCTGCGGCTGGACAAAGCCGCTCAGGAATCTCTCCAGGAGGGCCAACTGAAGATCAGGATGAAAAGCAAAAGGCTCGCAGCTCGGCTCGCAGACTGCTCGCCCCCAAAAGAGGACAAGAATGATCGAAACAGCGCAACGCCTTTCGCGCACTCTCAGGCTCCGGGCCCTCACAGCGTCGTCAGGGAAGCCAAGCAGAATCCTCAGACTGGAGAGGAGACTTTCTCATCTTTTCACTTTAAGCCTTGAAGCGGTATCCCAGGGACCCCAGGCCGCCGTGAAGGGGCCTGGGCCTGGGCCTTGTTTCAGGCCATCCGTTTCTGTTTTGGGGGAGAGGGGCATCACGGTCCGAAGCAGCTGTCCACGACCACAAAAAAAACACCCTCTTTCGAGAGAAAGGATGGTGCTCAGATGTGCTCGGTTGTGGGCACTTGGAGGATACTTGCGGATACTTGCGGCCAAGCGTCCACCCCCGCGGTGTGAGCAGATCTCTGTCCGGACCTGTGTTCGGGGTGGGGCCCACACGTCGTCCGTCGTCCCCACATGTTTTACACATGGGAGCTACCATACCAACGGCAGTTGTTGCTGTTGGCACGCTGAAGCCCCCAGAGCAAGAATCAAAAAGAGCACTCTGCACCGACTTTCGAGATCGCCCTCGCAAGCTTGGCTCCCTTGCCTTGTCCTCCGATGGGTCCTGGAGAGGCTCGGTTTGGCAGTGCGGCTCAGGCTCAACTATGCCACGCCTACGATCCTACGAGCGTCGGGGCGGATCTGCACGGTCTTGACTCGAGTTGCCACCCCCTTTTGTCTTGTCTGCGTCACGTGGCGCCTTCGGTGCCTTGCACTCCTTGTCTCCCTTGGAGCATCTTTTGCGAAGGGAACTGCTGTTTTGAAAGCACAACGATCTCCATGCGGCTGTCTCCCACTGCTCACCAAGTACAGAAAGCATGCACTTTATGAGTATGATTCATGATTATGACTTAACTCACTTCGTTCGGCTTCACTTGTGGACTACCTCAACCGCGAAGGCTTTGCAAGTGCTGGGTTCTTTGCCCCAGCCACAGGGAAACTTCAAAGCTGGATTGTCAGGGAATGAACGCAAAGCCGACAAACCACAATTACCGGCGACGATCTCACGGTGTCAAGAATTGCCTCAGCAGCACTCGGCTCAGCAATACTCGATCGAGAAGCTCTGGGCCTGTTCAAGCCATTCATGATCTACACCGTTGATTGCCCGCATGATGTCCGAGGCAGCACTAGGGTCGCAGGAGCCGATAACTTCCTGACGCTGCTGCTCACAGTTCTCCTTGGCGTAGATCGTCATCTTGGTTTTGGTGCCTCGTACAGTGAACGAGGGATTCATCTTCAGCACTTCCGTTGGAACCTTGTGGCAATGGCCCAGCTTGCCGAAACCTGCGAAACCTCCAAAGACCACTTCTCCGGCCACCCGCATCTCGCCGAGATCAATGGCCGACCCTGTCGATTCGGTGGCCTGCGGCGGCCCCGGGGATGGGGAGAACCCGTGCAAGGAGGCCGTGGCAAGCGCCCAGCCGCATCCAAAGAGTCCAATCAAGGCCAAGGCCGAGCCAAGCCCCAGCTTCCAGCGAGAGACGCCCAGAATCGGTACAGAATGTGCCCTTTGCTCGGTTTGCTCCGTCTCCGGCTCAAACTGAGGTAAGGCCTCAGCCCTGGCAAGGGAGCGGGTGGCGGAGTCCAGCATCGCTGACAAACCCGGCATCGACTCAGCGCTAGAGCGGGCTCGGCGGCTCTCTGCCCAGGTGATTCTGAGAGCCCAAAAACACCCAAGCACGAATCGACAAGCTGCGACATGGTCCGGATGCATGGTAGAGCCCTCGGTCGTACTAGCCTCGTGTCATGATCTCTTGAAGACCTGCACAATATGTAACTTCTCGTGTAACTGTCGCAATCATGGCATCGAGATTCGTCCTTCTGCCGTGGCACCCCCAACTGTCTCGTCAGGATCGGCAGCCTTTGTGCAGCAGAGACTGGCGCTGAAGTTGGCTTGGAGGTTTTGGACGTGTTGGACGTTTTGGACGTTTTGGGAGTTTTGGGAGTTTGAGCTTTGTCCATCCGTATGGCTGCAAGGGGCTTGAAATGGTTCAAAAGCTTGTGGCAGCATCCCTCCACAAGCGCACAAGACCTCTGTGCAACAAAGGTTGCCGCTCATTTGCAATGTGATCTCTTCATGCACAACGCGGCACTTTGTTCCCAATACCAGGAAATGTCCCCCGGCGAGAAAAAAGACAGTGCGTACGCAAGTGTACGAGACTGCGTGGCCGTGTCTCTAGTCAACGGAGCAAAGGGCCTCATCGGGGGCTGGCTGCGACAAGCCCTCTTCCGGCGATGCTTCCTGCGCTTCAAGTCTGAGGTGAAGCAGGACACACACACACACACATGCGCGCATACTCACTCGAGCTGAAAGAGACCTCACTAGCCATGCGTCTAATAACTCACAACATTTGCCCACTTAACAGCTCATGTTGCTCATCATAACTCGTGTCTTTTAGCATCTCAGCTGGTGGCCGCATCGACTCCTAGACCCTCAAAACAATAGCCACAAGAAGATGCTCTGATGTGTATGTTCGGATGGATGCACGCATGCATGCGTAGATTACCTGTGTATGTGCGCGCGCGCGTACGCACGTACGTAAGTACGTATGTACGTATGACCCTCACGTGACATTGAGTGACGTCTTGCGACTCACCCCGAAAGAAAGGAAAGGGCACCCAGACAGTCCTGCGGCTGCTCAACCGCATCGGCGGGCACAGCCTGCCACGAACGATATGTATCTATCCTTGCGAGTCGGCCGAGGCGTGTGCAAAGCGCGCTTCGATCAAACTTTCTCAGCTTCGTGGTACCCAGAAGTCACAGGCATGCTGGCAGGAAGCTGATAAGCTTTACCAATCCAGACACAACTAGCACTTTCGGCCACACCTCCTTGCAGTGCCTTTATGACTGGATTCAGTGGCTTGACACGATTTGAGTCCCACAATTGGGAGTCGACAACGAATGGCAATTTCGCGGTGGGCATCTTTACAGAGGCGTTTCGCTCGAATGCTTTGCAACTGCGTGCTGCGTCCCCCCCACCCACCCATACACACACACACACACACACACACACACACACACCCACGGAAAATCTTCACCGAATCGAACGACTTCACGGTCAGAAGATCAGCAGCCGGATGCAGCAGGTACTTAAGACTTCGTGCCTCTGCGGTTTCCGCTCCTTCGGCCGGCGAGGCCTGCCACGCTGCACCCTAGGACCCTAGGACCCTAGCTGGGACCCTAGGTTCCCAGCATCTGCGCATAGGGGATGAAACAGACGTCTCCAGACTTGGGAGGGCGCATCTGCCAACATGACATGTCAACTTGCTACAGAAGCAAACGCCATCAAACGCCACTCAACTCCATCTACCCAAAACGAGAATCTCCCACTTCACCTTTGCCTGCGCAGGCTCCGCCGAATCTGGCTCCGCTGCTAGCTCATCGCCTTCCGCTTTTGCCTGCGCACAGCCCTGGAGCACTCTAGGAGGGCGGGGATCTTCAGTCACTAGAGTCATCTAAGTCCGCAGCATGCAGACGTACGCACGAGCTGTAGAAGTCGCTCACGAGAATTCGAACAGATTAGGATTTGAGCGGACGCAAACGGCAGTGAATGAGCAGGCAGGACGATTCATACGTGGTCACTCTCGGTGGGAGCGCGCTGTCCGAAAGGGACAGCGCGGTAAGCTCTCGTGTCAGCACTGTCAGACGGGTCCTCGTCGGCTTCTTTGGGGATGTCGTCGGGAAAGAGCATTCGGAGCCTGGTCACGACCATTTGCACCTGGGCGCTATGCGGAACCGGCACTTCTTCGATCGAGGCGACCTGTGACGTCCACTAATCAGCCCGGAGAAAAAAGAAGCAGAGCCCTGCTGCTTTTGCTACCTTCGGTGGCCTGCTCTCCGGTTGCTGTCGGAGCCGTTATGTACTCGATGCATCTCTGCCGCTAGTGCCGTCCGCTAGTTTTGTTTGCTTTGTTGCTCTTCCTGTAGCTGCAACTCTGACGGCCAAGGCGGACCCCCGAAGCATTTGCCCACAGGAGTGACTGGGCCCGAGGCATACAACTCAGCAGGTACGGCCTGGCTCAATTCACCGTGAAGGGCTGTCACAAGTCCACCGACTCTGGGAATGCTGGTTTTCCTGCTTCTTTTCGGCCATTCCCGAAACACATCGATGCGTTCACTTCTTACTTGAGGTTCCACAAATTTCCCGGCACGAACAGCCTTAGAATGGTCTCCAAATGCGAACATACAGCTTGGCGTACCTTGACCTTGCATGGTACCATGCAAAGTTGTGGAGGTCGCACGGGTTGGCTTCTCTGGGTGGGCAGTCTGTCATTGTTACTCTGCTGGAGTGTATACTCTGCTGCAGGTGCTTCCGCAGGATTGCTGGGGGAGAGGGGGGTCACACCGGTGATCATCTGCAGCAGTGACTTTCATATTCCTCTCAAAGGATTATGAAAGGAATCGAGAAATGGGAAAAATCTGAACTATCCAAATATCGGTGTCAAGTCGAAACTATTTTCCCATGTTTTCCGGGGGGTTCCCGCAAAAATCGGGAAAACATCGGCAAGACATCGCCCAACAATCGGCCAAAACTGAACTGCAATGGGAAATCGAAAAATCTAGAAAACAGCGAATCAAGCGAGAAGAGATCGCTCGGCGATTTTGGTTGGAGTCCTGTTAGGAAATGGATCTCATAACTCAAGGGGCGCTCTGGGGATTCTCTCTCCTGGATTTTTTGGCGTGATTTTTTGGGGGTGGGCACTTTCAACGAATCCTACTCTGTCAAATGGAGACCCAGGTCCCGAGACCGGGACGAGGATAATAACCAACAATCAACAAGCCCCACGTCTTGGCTGGGGCACAAACAACCAAAGCCACGCCAGGGCTTGGCAGTGCCTTGCCAGCGTCGAGAAGCGCCGCCAGCTTTTGACCCACGGCCTCCGACGGAGAGCTTTGGAACTTGGAGTCTGATAGAGGAATGGTCAGGAAACCTGCCAGTCATGCCCACACTCCTCTCATGCGGTAGAGGAGAGTTGAAGACGCTTCAGAGCTTTTTCCCGCTTTTCACCAAGAGGTTTGGCCCCTGTGTGGCCAGCGGGAGCCACACAAGGAAGGGGAACCTCATAAGTCACCATAGAAGTCCCCTCCGCAACGGCAACATCGCCACAATAGCCAAAGTCGAATCCATGAAACTCCATAAAGCACAACATTACACAAACACAACCTCCGTCAAACCAGCTCGCACCTGCAGGTCGCCTCAGACGCAGGCGGTGGGGGGGGAGATCGCAGGGTGGTCTCTTGGACCAAGCTTTCGGGGGCTCTTGCTCCGGCTGGCTTCTTCTTGAGAGGCTTCTTGGTGATACTGCTTGTCCATATTGGGAAAACAAGTAACTGCAATCTGCTTGGCATCAGAGGTGCGACTAACCGACTGCGAAACCTTCAAGCCATGACTCATACTTGACATCTCCGGATGTCTGCGCAAAGCCCCACGAGAGGAACTCTCAAGAGAACCGAGCCCTTGAACGTGCGGCTCACGCATCCTTCTGCTTTGAGGTGACTGGGCTGACCCACTGGGCTCAGCCGGCTCAGCATCCGCCGATTTGCCTTTTGCAAAAGGCGACGCAGGGTCTTCTCGTGTGCCCGGTTGAGTGCAAGAATGCGGAAGCCGTGTACATACGTCTGTGGAGGTTGTCAGAATGAAGTGGGGTTGTCCTGCACGGGGGAGCTGTCTTCTCTCTCTCTGTCTCTCGCTGTCTCTCTTCTTCTGCTTCTTCTGCGCACTTCAGGGCCCCCCCAGACGAGGAGACCCGGCCACGCCGGCCAAGCGGGTCTCTGTCCTCTCTGTCTCTCCTCTTCTTCTTCTTCTTCTTCTCATTATTCTTCTTCTTCTTCTTCTTCTCATTTTTTCTTCTTCTTCTTCTTCTTCTTCTTCTTCTTCTTCTTCTTGTTCTTCTTCTTCTTCTTTTTCATCCTACTTCTGCTTCTTCTTCTTCTTCTTCTTCTTGTTCTTCTTCTTCCGCGCGTCTCTCTCTGTCCCCTTTTTTCACAGCGAGTAGGAACCAGTAAAGTCAAGGACATGAGATACCCAAGCCAGATTCCTGGAACATGCCTCTCGCCCTCTTACTTTCCTGGGGCCCTCGCCAAGCTCCAGGCAGTCCCGGACCAACTCATCCAAGTTGATCACCTGCTCAGAAGCTCTTGCAAAATCTCCTTGCGACGTCCTGGAGATTCCGTTCTAGAAGACTCGCACTCATTCAATCTTTCAAACCGGGGCTTGGGACAAGCCATGTGTAATGTGTAATGCCATGTCAGCAAGCTAAGGCGTACAAGACCAATTCTCAAACATTCAAAGCAGAAGCAGGCGGATCAGACCTCGAGACCATAGGCTTCGGCCAATCGCCTCGCCACTGTTCTCTTACCTGCGGGAGTCTCGCTCTAAGGCCTAAGCATGGTTTTAAGCATGGCTCTGCCCATGGCTCTGCCCATGGCTCTGCTCTCTTACCCAGGTGAGGAGGGCTCCAAGGCTCGGGGCAGAAGACTTGAGAGCAAGAGGGCTTGCCTGAGAGGGGTAGAGGGGGCATGGCTGGCCTGCATAGGGCTTGCCCGTGAGGACGAGGCGCAGTGGAACCTTGGCGAAAGCGCGTGCGCCCGCGTGTGCCCCCAGTATGTTGCAGACTGGTTACAATAGCCTGGAAATGATGTTGAGAAGCTCAGCCGAGGGGCATCTGGCATGGAAGGAGGCTGCTTCGGCGGAGGCTCCTTGTACATCCTGGCGCCACTTGGGCGAAGCGTATGAGCGCGGGAACATGCATGAACATGCGTGAACCTTCGGCCCCGGTGGCTGCGCAACATCATTTCAGTCCGCTCGCGACTGCAACTGCTCAGCACCCCTGCCTCTCGATCATGGAAGCCACAACCATCCCGAAGCGGTAGTTGACCTCATCATGCCACGCACTGAACATACCTTTCATATCCTTTCATGCTATCTCCATTTTGGGACCGCGCCACTTCTGGGGCTTCTGTGGCTCCCTTCTCTACTTCTACAGCTCTGCAATGCTCTGCGATGCTCTGCAGACTCTGATTCCTCAGATTCCTCAGGAGGAGGAGATGCGCAGCCATGGTAAAGGCCCCGCAAGGGTCTCAGATTCGATTGGAGTGACAACTTCGACACCAACTCACCAGGTTCCGAGTTCATGGACGGGGACGCCGTCCACAAGGTCAATCTCTGACGTGAGCTTCGACGCGAAGGAGATCTGCATGGGGAGAGAGGGCAAAAAGAAAGAGAGGCCTCCGGGGCAGGCCTTATGCGGATGTTGAGATCTGTTCCGCTTTTCTTCCGCGCTGGGTTGAGGGCGCGACCGCAACATGCACCAGTCCGAGCTGCGCGTGGCAGACTGGCAACGCTTTGGAGATACCGCCCTTTTGGGTCATCTTTGGGTCTCATGATATGTCATGTCACAGGGTGCCAGATGAATCGTTACAACGGCTTTCCGCCACTCCTATAGAGGGCGTCGCGAAGCCGGAAGGCTTGATAACATTTCTAGAGGCTACAGGAGCACAACTCACTCGGCATGGGGCGGTGCACGGCGGTGCACGTCGTTAACGTCCGCTGATGAAACCGGCTTCACTGCAGGCTCTTGCCGCAGCGCTCAGAGAGGACCATGCCTTCGACTGAAACCCCACTCCAAAAAACGATGAAGCATTTTGTCCTTTGGTACTACAAGGTGCTTCCGCACCGTGCTACCAGTAGCATGCAATTTCTGTGCCCTCGTTGAGTTACGAGCTGCTGCCTGGGACCCTCTGAAGGCCAGCGATGTTGCAGCATCAGCAAGCGGTGAAACTGGGAGGTCGGTGCCCGGACTGTTTGTTGTATGACTTTGGAAGTGTCAACACACGCACAGTTGCCTCAAAAGCTTCAAGCCACTCCTGCATATCTTCGGGGCTGTATGGGAAGCGACTACGACTTCTTAGCACGTATTAGCATGATTATTTTTCGGGGATGGCGACGTATGCTCCGCAAGCTCGTCTCACTGGGATGCAGCCAGCCCATGTCCAACGACCATGTCGGTAAAAAGCTGCCCGAAGTCCACCTCTTCAGGGCACGGGCAATTTCCATAAGACACAGTACAAGCTTGCAAACGCATGGAGAATGACCGTCACAAGGCACAGCAAGCTTGCGGGGGGCCTTTGCAATGAGCCATCCTCAGATTGAGACATGTGAAACTTAAGGAAGAAGCATTTCAGAAGACAGGGCCGCAGAGGTGGGACAGGGGAAGGTTACGGGGCAGTTTCATCCGATTCGGGGTGTCGGCTTTGCGTCGATTGTCGCCTTTTCCCCGGTACAAAGCGCCCCTTAATGTCTTAACGCATCTCAACGCAGTCCTTTCTTCAGATTCTCAGATGGCCGATGGCTTCATCGAATCTTCACTTTGCAGATGCCTCGTTCGAAAACCCCAGGTGGTTTGGGCCCCGTTCTCTCTGCGAAACAAGCCATCCGATGTGCATCCGCCGCCTTTGCACGCGACAAGCCTGCAGATGCCTCCCTTCAAACAATGCAGATCTTGACGTCTGTGGCATGCTCGAGCCACCGCGGGGTACAAAAAGGGCACTGAGTTGTGTGATTCACCAGGCAGCCAAGCAGCCTAAGACCAGGCCCATCATCTCGGCAGGAGCAGAGGTTTGAGGTCGAGGAATCACAGGTTCACGGAATCACGGGAGTACAGGTGCTTGGATGCTCGAATTCCCACCGTTCTTCTGGGAGGTTTGGGGCGGCGTACTCTCTGACGTACAAAGGGGCTTGTACGTAGTCCAGCTGATTTACTCAAGGCTGAGGCCAGGGCCGTGTGGCAAAAGATGTTGAAGGAAGTGCCTGATTTGCTCCAGCACCTGAGGTAGCAATCATGCAAACTGAACATGGGGCTTCTGTTGGGTCTTGGATGGTGGTCCATGCTGCTTGACAGGCAATTCGTTGTTCCTCCTCGGAGAAAGCGACATAGGTGATCGCAAGCTTGGCTCACCACCCACGACAACATCTCCGGCAGCAACGGCACCTCACAAAGAGAAGCCCTGGCTCAACTCAAGCAACTAAAGCACGGGGCACATCTGTGACCTAGAACCTAGAACACAGCACCAACAAGCAGCTGCTTTGTGCAGAGAATTGCACAAACAATGGTTCGAGGAGCGGGGGGAAGGACCAAAAAGGCGGAGAGGGGGACAACAGAGAGCCTCCACAAGGGGGCGGACCAGTCTTTTCCCAAAGCGGCCTCGAGCTGTGGTGCGCCGCGGAGGGCGTTTTGGCCGCCAAATCTGGAAGCTGAGAGTTGCGCATCATTGTCGAATGCTGTTTAAAACTGCATCTGGCATTTGTGCATGGTATGAAAAGCTATGCCATTAGCAATGCGACACTATCTGCGCCACGAGGGAAGCGAACCAGGGAAGCGCATGGTGCTGGGAATCATGGGTCAAAGCTACATTTGGGCCCATGGGCCAGTGACAAACCCTCCCAACCTCAACTATCCAGCGCCCTCAGCCCTCAAACTCAGCAATGCCTCCGCTTTCGTGGTGATCATGGTCTTCGTCCTTCGGCACGAGGGCGAGTAGCCGGTTTGAACTGTGTGATCCGTTGCTTGTGTCAATGGGCCATGGTACAGCGAGCAGAAGTCCGTCTGGACTGCACGCACTGAACTTGACAGCAACACTGCAATTGGGCTCAACATTATTGCAAAGGGCCAGGACCGTTCTGCCACGCACCGATTGGAACCGGAGCTCCTTCTCGCTCTCACCGTGCGGTTTCGAGTACTTGTGGCCAAAGGCCACAGCTTCGCCACTCGCTGTTGCGACAGAGCGGACGGGGCTCAGGCGCGTGGAGCAGCGCATGTTCCTTCTCCAGTTACTCCCACCCAGCAGCGCTCCCACAACGAAGCAGCTCGGAGCGAGGCTTCTGGGACAGCAAACGCACCATCTCTCGGAAGGCATTCAGGTCTGTTGGCCTTCCGGTGCTTTCCAGTTCTGATCACTTCGTGCTATCAGGCGCGGCCCATTTTTGTTGCTTCTCCTTCCCATAGATTCCTTTTGCGTGCCGTCCAATTCGAAGGAAAGACCTGGGTCACACCTGGCAGCATCGTGCAGCAAACCTACCACAAACAAGTTCTCCACAGCTGGGTGCGACTTGCTTCCGGTCGTTCAGATGGATGTGCTGACTGGAAATTCCGGAAACGCGGTCGGCCATCAACTTGTGAACTTCTGCATGTGCTTGGGATGGAATAGCCGCCAGCTGTGGCATCCAGCGTGTGCAAGCAGTCAGTTGTCAAGGAGCCCACTGCGTTGGACCACTAGCTTCTGCGTCGAAAATCAGCATCTCTTTTGGCTCGTCTTTGACGTCGAGGATTGATCGGCCAGAGGGTTTGCCTTTCTGTCGCCGAACTGTCGTACAACAATCGCCCACCGTTGCCGATTTCTCTCGCCTTCTTGGGCTCGGGCCGTCGTGTTTGCTCGGCCTGCTGTTTTCCCCCCCCCCCCCCCCCGCGCTCTGTGCGACAAGCCGACGCGCCATCACAGCCACCTTCCCACCCATCCCAAACTGTTTGTCTTGTCAAGATGTGAATTTGCTTTGGACAAAGGATGAGCAGCTGATGTCCCTTGTTTGTTGAGCAACTCTGGGGGGGCATGCGAACACCCGACCTGCCACATTTGTTTCCACTGTGACTCCGGCTGATGAAGCCCTCAACCGAGTGTGCCGTGCCAATCACGAATGCCACGTCAACCTGAAAGGCTACAGCTACGCCGCTACGCCGACTCCGTCCCTCCATCTCCCTGCTGCAACTCTACCCTTTGAAGCATCTTCCGGTCCGCGTCGAGAGAAACGACGGATGCTCGAGGACTGATCACCTGCGGCAGTAAAGGAAACTTGCATCGGGAGTTGATGGAAAGGTATGTGTTGGGCATGTCGTTGGGGCCTATGGTTGAAAGCCCTCCTTCGACGGTGCCAGGCACTCGCAGACCCCTGTGTAAATCGGAGCTGCAGAGGGATATCTTATGCAAAATGACATGTGGGATAATAAGCGATTCCTTCGAGCCGGTTTTGGATTGTGCAATTCTCCAAACCCTTCCACTTCGACTTCCACTTCAGGCCTCAGAGCTGGGCGACAGCGTCATGGTGTCGCTGTAGGCCGCCAGCTCGGCGAAGGCGTACTGAGAAGAGCGGAGAGCGTTCTGAACAGAGTACTCCCCCCCCGCCCCCAGCAGTAGCGATGAATGCTACTGGGCAGAGGGCAGGTAGTGGCAGCTTCTGATCACGTGAGAGCAGAGAAGGTGCTCTCGGCACAGCATGTGATTTCCTTCTTGCCTCCAGCTTGTTTGGATGGTCGCCCACGGGGCCCTCAGCTCTGGCTCTCTGTTACTTCACCTTCGTGGCTTGGGCATGGATGTGCGCTAAGTCTGCGCTGAGTTCGCAGCATAAGTCGCCATGGCATTGTGGAGGTGGGCATCGTAGTCGATCTTCCTCGCAGGTTTTTCAGCCTAGCGCTGTGCCCTAAACGGATTGCAGCTTAGAAAGCCCAGTACAGAATTAAACAGCTTGCCAAGGTGGTGGGTCTGCTAGGGCTGACTTCCGTTCTCCATTGCCGGATGGGCAAGCTCAGAGGCTCCCATGGTTCCGGATGTTTCCAAACAAACATGGAGAAAACCACAGAGACAAAAAGCCTTTGCGCTCTCGCAGGGGCCATATGCCAAAAGCAACCTCCACAACCGTATCTGCTCCGCTGCACTGCGATGGCTTTTCTTTGACAGCTGGCCCAAGGCAGCTTGCAAGAGCTCTTCTTTTTGCCGCCCCGTCTCGGAAAAAAATAAACTGACATCAGCCGGTCTCCTCAAGCTGGCTGTTGCTGCCGCCGCATCGCCCTTGCGAGATCTTGTGAGGCTGTTGGGCGTGTTTTGAGGTGCACAGCTTTATAGGATCGGAGGCAGCTCCGCTTCGGAGTAGCAAAAAAAGATGCTATACGATGCGTGACCTGCAAGTGTTATCTGTCAGCTGATTTGCATGATTTCCTGGAGTTGTTGCCAGTTTTGGGCGCTGAGGGCCGTAGGGCTCAAGGCTTCACGGGTGAATCCATGATCGTATCCAAGGAAGCTTTGGCTGCTGCGCCTGTCGTCGAAGGTCCCACCAGCGCAGGCTCTGAGATCGCTCTGACTCGGCCTTTTGGGTGGCCCTTCAATATGGGGTTCCCTTTTGGGCCTCGGGTTTGGGATTACGGCTGCGAGCCCTGCCAACAGCAGAGGGCCCGCACTTCCAAGAAGGGAGGCTGTTCTCTCAACAATGTGTTTTGGGATGTTTTGGGTCAGGTGCGGGAAAGTTCAAGGACCTAACTGTGACAGAAACGAGGCCACTCAGAGCAAGAGACCGAAAGAGGTGCCTCCATAGCGAGAGAGCTCACTCTCTCGCAAGGCAGCGACAATTGGGGGTGGGTGCCAAAATGGAATGGGGTCCGAGTGGGGCTCAGAGGCTTGGAGAGCAGCGCACGAAACACGAAGCACGGAGAGAGCGAGAGAGAAAGAGAGCACTGACACTGGGAGAGCGCGCCTGCTGCACGAAGCGCAACTGCATGGCCTCCGCTCTGCCACGCAGATTCTGTTCTGGGAGTGTTCAAGGGCAGGAGTTAGGAAAAACACTTTCGCGGAGTTGGGCGCATGTTTCAAAGGCCCTCTAAGCCCGAGGAGAAATCCCTGCCGAGTGAGAGAAAACTCGTGCGAAAAATGGTGCACCGACTCGCCATGCCTGAAGCATCATGCAGAGGACGTTCTTCACCTCCCATGACAAGAATGAATGATGGCTCTTCAATATGCAACAAACGTCATGGAGGTCAAACGTGAAGGCTAGCAGCGGATTGCTGCGATGTCTAGGTTGCTCTGAAAGCTGCTGGAAGCTTTCTACAGGATGTCCAGCACAAAGGCACGGCACCGGGATTTGTCGGACTCGCACTCAAACCCTGAAGAGCACGACCCATTTGAATTCATTGTGTGTCCATGCGCTGTGTCCCTTTGCATCCCTCCATGGGAGTCTGGCCCACCATTTGTCCAGCTGCGGCCGCGGCACTTCCTTTAGAGCACCGAAGTTCAGGGGCTTCCTCATAACACATCACATGCCGCGCTGCGCACCTGACCCTCCAGGAAGACCACCTGTTTTTCTGGAATCGACAGGGCCAAGACGTAGATGTAGGTCCTCTACGTAACAAATCATCCCGGCAACAGGGTGAAATGGCTCTCTCATCCGGCCTGATCGTGAAAAATGGCAGGTCGACCTTGGCATCTGAGCACGAGGCCACTTGCCGACGTGCAAGATGTGTGAGACCAGCGCATTCAGCCAAGCGGCGAGAAGGATGCTGATGATGGCAGAACGCTTTCGTGCCTGCAGGGATCCAGGGTTGCAGACAAGCCGCGAGCTCTCGGTCCTTTGTCAAAAGTTCTTAAACCTCTGAGCTTCGGGAGCTGAGCACCCACAGGCGGACACATGCACCCTCTTTGTGGCGCCTTCACCACGTCTGGGGCAGCTAGCTCCTGAAAGGCACCGGCACAGCGCCAGCGCAACTGTTGGCTCGAATGTTCGGGGTTCGTGAGACCCAAACAGCTGTCGAATCTGACTCCGCAGAAAGCCCTTGAGAACACCGGCGCCCACCTGGCTCTTGTTCGAGGTATTCGAGCCACCCTGGTAGGCAACGCCTTAGCATCGCAAATGCACTTATGCAGGGCAGACGCGAGGTCCACTGCAATGGTCACAAACTTGTTACGCCCTGGTGCCCATAAAGAACCTGGCTCTCAGGGCGGGAAGGACCCTTCAAGGCGAAACTCTGTTTCATGTGGGGTCCTCACAGTAAGCACGCTTCAAGCCTTCAAGGCTTTCAGGCCGTTTTGATAGGTCGACTCTTGGTTAATGCCTGAGAGTACAAGAAGCACCCAAAGAACGGGCACCGAAACGGAGGCCAGCGACTGGGATAGGACTGCTGATGGAAGAAGAGCGCCATGATGATGAATGTGCCCGCAGCGAGCTTGATTTGCTGTACCTAGAGCAGAGCAGTGATGCGCAGTGATGCAAGCTCGCCAATGGGACCACATTTGTCACAGGCAAGGCCTCGACCGGGTGCGACTGGGAGAGAAAGCCTCAGATGCCAGAGACACGGACAACTGTGCATGTCACCGGCCAAGGAAACCTGAGAAAACCCCGCAGATAACCCCACTTTTTTGGGAAAGACGGACTTCACTTCACTTCTGACCGGGCAGCGTGTAGAAGACCCCTCTCCACTTTCGGGCGAGTCCAGGAACATCATGTTGACGATGTCGATCATATCCTTGACAGGTAGGAATTCGTGTGGATCAGCTGCTCAGAACTAAACGGCCATGCTCCCTTCCAAGCTCGACCTTAGTTTGTCCGTCAGGGATCAATGACGACGTGCCAAACCATGTCCAACAACAGCGCCGCATCGAGGGTGGCATAGTCTTGCCTGCGTGACTGCAGAGCATCCTATAGCAATGAACTCCAGCTCCAAGGTGACGGCAGCCCAGATTGCGCTGACCTACACTACCTTTGGCTTGGCTTCTCCTTTCATGTTGCTTCATCTTGCTTCCATCATGCTTCCATCACGCTTCCCCCCGCTGCTCCCGGGCAAATTAGATTCGTCCTCCTTCTGCGCTGCCGTCGGCCGTCCATCAACGTGCTGTCCCCTCGAGCCGCGAAGACTTGTCCTGGCTACGTGGCAGGTTGCCATGAATGCAGCTCTAGAACCATGATTGGGGTTCTATGGACGACCCATTGCAGCCCACAGCTTTTGCCAACTCAGCACCCCGCGCAAGGACCCGAATGCAAGCACGGAGTAGAAAAGCGGAGTGAGCCACATGACCTCAAGGGCTCTTACACCGTGTGCGGTAGCAATGATACGAATGACTCATGTGAAGAAGGGCTTGATTTCTCGTATCCCCTAAAGATGCCCCATATTTATACGGAACCATTACATACACTCACCAATAATACCAATATAAACCCCAACCTCATGTGACATGAGCTGACCCACACAGCACGCGCTTGCGTGCTTCTGTGTTTTTTGGCCGAAGCCAATGCCCAGTCGACAATGCGAAGACGAAAACGGTTCGATCTTCGATGCACAATCCACCAGGCAAGAAATAGCAATTGGATTGGGACCGCTGGGTGGTTGCACAGGGATCGCGCAGATGTAAGCAGTGTCTACATTCAGAGCAGATCCGGCGCACAGAGATGCACAGAGACACGCCATACGAAAGGGCGCCGCCAACAAAAAACAACAACTAAGTCTCCAGCTGTCATGACGCTCCTCGGGCTGACCAACCTCGGAAGGCTTCATCCCGAACTCTTCTGCGAACTTGAAAAAGCGATTTGTGTGTTAAATGGGCAAAACAACCCGCCACTCTACGCCGAGTCGCTCTACTAGAAGGCTGTCACCACCCATCCCCTGCATGTAGCGGAGCATCGGGAGCCTCAGAACCAAGAGCGCAGCATCGGCTCAAGGGCTGCCGCAGACTTCACGCATCGCCCGGCATGACATCCTCGACCACTTTTCTGAGACGGCTGCGTGTCGAAGAAGAGGATTCCCCCTGTGGCCGCTATAAGCCAGCAGTAGGTAATCCTCGGAGCTCGGCTGTTGCCCATCAGGTCTGAGCGTAGCATCAAGGCAATTCTAAAATTTTTAACAGTCGTTCGTTGAAAAGCCTGCTTCGGAGGACCGAGAGGACGCCTTCCCGATGCTGTGGGGACACGGCGCCAAATGAAAGTCAGCATTTTGCTCAGGACTCCGGTTGAAACCATTGATCCCTCACTGAAAGCCAACAAGCCAATTCCATGTGCCGGCACCGACTCAAGCCGACCCGCCTCTATACACCCGCAAAGAAGAAAACTCGGCAATAAGTCAAAAAGTTGAGCTTCCGCATCTGTTCATCAGCGAGACTGCACATCTCCGAGCTTCACAAATGTCAAGACGAGCATTGGGGACCAGTGATATGCCCAGGGCTCCACTGCAATCCGCCGGTGCGGGCCTCTCGGCCGCGGCCGCCGTTGAGCGCAGTCCCGCAGAGGTGGAAGAGCCTCAGGGCGGTGTGGGGCCGGTACGAGCAGATGCCGATGGGCACTGTGGGGACCGAGAGGACTAACAAAAAGATACAAAAAACAATCACAGAGCACAGACGCCCCCACTGCGGAGTTCAAACCCCCATCTTTTGGCATCTGTGCCCGAGTTTGCCGGGGAGCAGAGCCATCTGAACGAGCAGCAGAATCCAAATCCACTCCTGGGCAGCGCACGTGGAAAGGTGGAAGCACGATCAAAATGCCCGAAATGGCCCACTGAAACCTCGAGACTAGATTCCAGGGCTGCCCAAGAGTGCTGCTGAAGCATCACCTGAGCAGTGGGCTGCTTTTGATGTTCTGTGCAAGCTTGGGTTGTTCTGCAAGGCAGAAGGGTGCTGGACCAAGCTGTGCCTTAGAGAAGGTCACAGCCATCCCATGGTGCTGATGGTCCTACCCCGCAGTTGTTTAGCAGTTGTTGTTTATTACGAGGTGTCAAAACCACCCCCTGCGCAGGCACCGTGGGAGAATGCTTGACCCTGAGCGAGATGTCAACTTCACGCGATTGTCAGCCATGCCACAAGAAAGTTCTAGCCCTCCTCGATTTCGGCCTTCCTGCAGTAGAGTAACTTGGTGCTACCTTTCATAGGCCAAGAGGCGTTGTCCAGCAACATCATCTGGGCCACCAAGATGACCTAGACCGCTCTCTTCTGACTTGACAACTAAGTCCTATTCTCCACAACACACCCCGTGGATTCTCTAACAGGGAAGGCATTCAGTCAGGTACTGGAACATGCCTTCGGGACAGCGAAGCCAGGACAGGCGGCCGGAAGCAGGATGTTGGCAATCGCAAAGACGATCTTGAGCAGGACGAGGCCGAACTTGGCAGCTCCGAGGTCAGGAAACACCCGGGGGGGGGCTTCCAAAGATGGGGGGAGTGGGGCACCCTTTGTGGCCGGGCTCCTAAGGTAAAGGTTCTTTGGAGCCGAGCAACTACACTCACTTTCGAGCTAGAAACCAGCGTCGCTCGGTCCGCATCACTGCACTCCTTAAGGTCTAGGTCTCCGGGCCACGGAGCAAAGCCAGCTCAGGCCGCTCCTCTTCGGGCGCCTTTGTTATGCAGACTGTCTTTTGCAATTCGTTTTTGTGGGAGTGCAGGCGGGGGGGGGGGTAGGAAGGCAGTTTGGTGGTGGCATGGAAGTGGTGCCATGTGAATGCCCAGCGGCGTTCTCGGCGCTTGGTTTCCCCCCTGCGGCTTCAGTGGGTGAGACTTCTTTCGGAAGCACTGTTGAAAGGTTCCTGGAGGTTGTTCTGCTTCCGGGACATGAGGGGCGGATGGGGGATGGCGTTCGACTCATCTGACCCCCCTTTTGCGGTCCCTCAGGTCCCGGACTCGCTGAACCCCAGCCCTGGAGGCCTCATCGAGGTGGCTGGTCACCGGCGTGGACGGCACGGTTTCCGCCATGGTAACACGTCTCGTGCTGCTGCTTTGCAAAGTGCGGCTTTAAAGTGCTTGCTACTTGGGGGTGGCGGGGGCTGAGAAGGGTTTGGGATGATTTGGGGAGGGAGCGGGAGGGGTCGAGGTTGGCTGAAGGATCTCAAGGGCACTTCAAGTCGGAATTTCAAGGCTCTCAAGTTAAGGGCGGTTCAGGCGTTGGTCGACTGCTGCAACTTGTGGCCTCGCGAAATCCGCTGACCTGCACCCCTTTTCAGCTCTTAAGGGCATATGCCTCCGTCACGGAGGGGACTCGACCGTCCGACCCAGTGACTTGAGAAACCCATGGAGTTGTGCCCAAAGAAGAAGCTGCGCAGCGCGGCAAAGGCAGAGCTCAGGAGGCTCACGCTCTGGGGTCATATGGGTCATGAGGGCCTAAGTTGTGAGGCCCAGAAACTCTTCGCATGGATGCTTGGGACTCGCCTTCAGGAACTTCGGGGGCCTGGGGGAACTCAGGGAGGAAAGAACATGTACTGAGAATAACCCTCTGAGAAGGAATTCCTTCTGAAAAGACGAAGAGCCTCGACCTTCCCAAACGTGACCCCACGATTCAAGGGTGCTGTCCTTTCTTCTTTTTCTTTGAACAAACCCAAGAGCTCCAGAAAGTGCCCCTTGAGCCCTCCTCCCCCTAACCCATCCAAAATAGGGTGCTCTGTGCAAAGAGAGAAGTGCACCTCTTGGACCTCTTCGAGGGCGGTCTTCACCTAAAGCCCATTGCCAATGCAAAAAGGTGCTTCGCTTCTGAGTCAAACTGCGGAGCAACTGTTCCCGGAGAACCCCTGAGTCCTCAAAAGAGCTAAATCTAGTCTTTCCATGCCTTTCCCAGATTCCCACTCGATCTCGGACTTCCTTCCGGCCTCCACCTCATGGTCGAAGGGGACTACCGCGGGCTGTGCCTCTCGCCACATGAGCATCGAGCCAGCTCAGATGGTGACTCGTGCAAACTCGCGCAGACTGTCGGGACCATGCAGACCCAACGCACCATGAGACTAGAGACAGAGTGACTCTGGTGGCCTCGTCGAGGATCGTCCTCGGCACCTGCGAAGGCCGCAGCCGCAGAGCTCAAGACTTGAGGTCTCAGAATGTGTCGGCAGCTACGCAGCGCATGCTGTGCATCCAGAGGGGGGCAGCATCGATTGCGAGTGTCTCGAAAACATGGAATAGCATGAATGGCACAAAATGCAAAGCGAAGCGACATGCGATGCGCTCTTCTGCGGCACCTCCCACTGGCCCAGGCCCTGAACGAAATCGCGGAGCGCGGCAGCATTCAGAGTGCTTCCTGGCAGAGAGCTTCAGGTGGAGCGCTAAGTCCACAACGAGGCTCAGAGGATAGCCACGGCTACTTTGCCGCGACTCGCAAGCTCAGCTGAAAAGGCGTCCCAAGGCTTGCCAAGGCCTGGTGGGTGCAGATTCGCCAAACCCGTCGGCTCCGGAAGCGACGTCAACGGCGCCCTCAGACAAGCGCAGCGCTGGAGCCCCCAGAGGGAAGCCAAGGGAAGCCAAGGGAAGCCCATCTTTCTTTCTGTCCAGGGCCCCCGGGCGGCTCTTCAGCGCAGTCCTCCAAGCTGGGAACCAGCCGGACCTGGGCCGGTCTCTCTCTTGTCAGATACAAGCTGATATCATATGATATCAGCGATCTAAGGCACCTTTTTTTTTGGGGGGGGTGGGGGGGGGGGGTTCCGTGGGGTGGCTTTTCAGTCAAGCTTCAACTGAACACATCGCGGCTACTGCGAAAGGGTCCACGTTACGAAGTACAGAGGGATCATGAAGCCGGGTGCCGTGCAGGAAGGTTCTCCTCGAAGAGTGAGACCCACTCGCGCCAAAGAGTGGGATCCACCTGCGCTCAGCGAAGTGTTGCTAACTAATACCAGCTAATCTCCAACACGTTTTTTTGCTCAGACTTCGAATCGGAGAGTCTTCTGCGAAAGGGGGCTTAGGGGCCGCTTGTGGCAGGGAAGAAACGGCATTGCTAGTGGGCGAGCACATCCCCCGCAACTTCGAGGGCATCGAGAGGGTCATTTTCAGCGCGGATCTCCGAGGTTGGCATCTACCCTCTGACGCTTCGAGTGCTGCGCCGACACGACATCTCCCACCCAATTGGGAAACGATGGAAAGACGAGAGAAGGGCCGAAGAGGGAGCGGAGGGCAGCGGCAGCGGCAGGCGCCTCCTCTCTGTCCGTCAGCTGCTCCTTCAGGACGTCAGGGCTCGGAGCTGCTCTACCACCTGTATGGACCCTGTATTCGACTGGCATAGGCCACCTGCCAGAGCGCTTGCGCGGCTCTGCGTAGGTCCTGCTCCATGTCAGCGAAGGCCATCTGCATGATGAGGTCCAAGATCCCCTCCATCTCCTCAAGAATACAAACAACAAAAAAAAGGAAACAAAATTCACAAGAAGCAGCTCGGTGCAGAGGATGCGCGGCTCGGGGGGGGAGGAGGGGCCCGGCCTCTCGCAGCTTCTCACGGCGCTTGGCGTGGCGGCCGCGCCTTGGCTTTCGGGAGGGATCTTGTTTGCGTGGAGTCTCAAACTCCGTTCCTCAATCTCCCATTCTTCTTCTCCACACTGAATTGCCCGGACCGAACCTAAAGAAGAAAGAAAGACAGAAAGACAGAAAGACAGAAAGACAGAAAGACAGAAAGACAGAAAGACAGAAAGAGTGCTCAGAGAGGGAGAGGGAGAGATCTCCAAGACCTCTCACGGGGCCCAGGCTCGATGGCCCGGTACCGCACATGCTCACGCTCCTCTGGCGCACTGGGAATTCCAACCATGAACTTCTGCTTCCTTAAAGACTCATTCTGCAAGTGTTTTTGCCGTAGAGCCACTGCTTGCAAAGATGCCTTGGGTTTGTCAAGATCCGACTGTCCCTCTGCCAGCTCCTCTTGCTCTCGCATGGTCTCCACCATCTCGTCCCGTAGATCCTGCGCATGGCCATGGAAGCATATGCTGCGCCTGCTTTCCTAAAGAGTCTTTTTGCTCAGGCACCCAAACCCATTGGTAGTACAATGGCAGGCCTTTGAGAAGGCCTCAATTGAGGAGCCCTCACGAAGAACGACCGACGAAATAGACAGACGCGCAAAGCGTCCGGCCCCTTCTCCTTCCTCTCTCCCTATCACCTTAAGCCGACTCAAGCGGAGTCAACCCTCACCGTGCCTGGTCCCGCCGAAGCACCTGAAAAAGCGCTTTCAAAGGGAGTCAACAAAACAGAAGTAGCTATGCAGGCATGCCCAAGCCATAAACAAAGGAATTGAGGCAACCCCGTCTAGCCCGAATTCCTCCTCGCAAGAATACAAGCGCTGTGCTTTCAAATCCGCCCCAAGCCCAATTCTTCGCAGACCTCCTCCTTGTCTGCCCTCTTCTGCGCCGAGTACTGCTGCTGCCGTGCCTGCCGATTCCTCCCGGCAGCGTCGGCATTGCGCCAGATGCGACACTCACTCACTCACGGCACATACACATACACGCACATAAAAAATATTTTACTTCGAACATCCCCACCCTCTCTTGGTAGAGATACACACTCTGGGGTTGGGCACTCCATGAAGACTCTGGGGTTGGGCGCTCCAGCGAGGAGTAGACCGGGCGAGGAGAAGAGTTCCGGGCGAGGAGAAGAGTTGAGTTTAAAATCTAACAACCCCACATCTAGGGTGGGGAATAAATATATATATATATATATACATGTATATATATATATATAGCCATACACGCATGCACATATTTTCTGCAATTATATCTACAGTGACAACTGAATACGACGACGTTGGGGCTCGGCCGAGAGTCGACACCCCAAAAAGTGCGGAAAAAAGAGCTATTGAAAACTAAAACGAGGAATCCAGGGTACCCTCAGATTTGGGGCCGACTTCAGCTTGGGCTTGTTTGGGCAGGTCAGGGAGGGTTTGTGCAGGGTTTCCGGAGCCACTTTCCGGCCCAAAAAGAAAATGAGAAAATGAGGGACTCATCACCTAATTTATATCAAGAGTTCGGGGAGGGTTTTCGAGTGTCGGAATTGTTTTGAGGCTGCCGCTGGGAGGGTAGGGGACGGGGCTTCGGACCAATTTTCAGGCCCAACAGGAAACTAGGAAAATGAGGGGTTCATTTTCTTAGTTTCGGCTTGGTGCGGGCCCTGCAGTAACGGACCTTGAAAATAAGAAAATTGCTAAGAAGCTGAGGGTACCCTCAGGGTGGTGAGGTTTTATTCCTGGACGTGTGCTCCTATACTTTAAGAGATCCAGAGCATCCTCACCTGGAACTTTCGCCTTCTTGAACCAGCACCGTCACTACACACACCTGTGTGTATATATATATATATATATTGATTTATTTATTTATTTATTTATTTATTTAATATTTGTATTTATATTTCTATTTCTATTTCTATTTATATTTATATTTGTATTTATATTTATATTTATTTTTATTTTTGTATTTATATTTATATTTATTTTTGTATTTATATTTATTTATGTCTGTACTTATTTATGACCATGATTATTAAATGAAAAATAAAAATAAATAAAGAAATATATATATATATATATATATATATATTACACACATTACATTCTTTATGACATATGTGGGAAACATTCACATACATGCACACGGTGTACAATGCACGAACATATGTATTGATACATATGTATATACACCTGTGTATATATATACACATTACCATATGCATTGCGGCACTTATGGGGCCCTTACATCTCTCCAGGAAGAAGAACCCATCAGAAACCGAAAGGTTGCACGTGGTCACGCCAAATGGCGCGCCTGACAACGACCTCCTCGAAGGTCTTTGCCCGCCAGCTGCGGTAGCTGATGGCACTCTCCTCTTCAGAGTTTGGGCTGCGTTTCCCCTAGCTGCCTTCTTCCATTGCACCACATGACCCCACCGAACTTCCTTGCCATCCCCACAGTTCACATTCGATGTGCATGGCTCTGGCTCGCTATGAAACCGCTGAAAATTCGCCCACCCAGGCCGAAAGAACATGTGCGTTGTTGCGGCGTTTCCGGACCAGAAACCGTCAACGACTCGCAAGTCGAAACAAAAAACACAAAACAAATCGCACCTCGATAGACTGGCGCCCCAGCTTCTCGAGCAACACCTCGCCAGGACGGCTCCCAAGAAGCCGCCAAAGTCGACAGAGGGGGGGTGGGGGGAGGGACCCTTTTGACGGCTTCAGCGACGCCCGGTACACGCATCACGTGTCCAAGAATGGTCTCCCCTTGAGCCGCCAAAGTCGCAACAAAAACTAGGACGGGACCTGCTCAAGCTGGTTCTCCTCGAGCATCTCCTGACACTTCGGGATGCCGAGGGATGCCCCAGATGCCAAATTAGTTTGCGTGTGTGGGTGTGTCTGTGTGTGTGTGTGTCGGTCGATCTCTCTTTTTTGCAGGTGTTGATGTCAAGGTGTGCTCAGGTGTGCTCGGCTTCGGGATCATCGGGGACTGCTTGATTCGCTGTCGGCAGCATCAACCCTTGCGTAGAGTCTGCTTGAACATAGCTGTTCATGGAAATTGAAGGCACCTCAACTGCAAAGCAACACTAAATTCCTTAAGCAGCAGGTATCGTCGTGGCCAACAGCAAGGAAGCCAGATTATTGTCTGCCTTATCCTGGCAAGCTTCCAAAGTCTCAAGGTAAGCACCCACTTAGCAACAAGGGGGCTACACAACATGGGAGACACAAGCTGTTGCATCTTCTCCAGTCTGAATCCCCATGAGATCACGTGCCAACGCCCCGAAGAACCCACCGAGAACCACCGAAAAAATGGCTTCTGAAACAGCAATGGGCCAACCTGCTCACGCTGCTGCTCCACGAGGACCCGCCGTCGCCGACGCTCGCGCTCACGCCGCGCAATGGCGCCCGCTTGTTTGGACTCCTGACTGCCGCAAGACTTGCGTGAAACTCTGCGCCGTAACAGTGAGATGGTTCGGGCTGCCAAATCGAGCAACATAGCTTCGATTCAGCTTGATCTGCTGACGCTACACCCCGCGCTTCTCTGCTGTCTTCCTCTCCGAGGAATGCTTACAACTTACAAGCTTCTACTCTCAGGATTCAGTGTGGTTTCTTCGTGTGTTCAGCATTCGGCACGCCAAGCATTTTTCTCCAAGCTCGCAAAGCCAGCGCTTCTACAATAGTTTCAGCGCAAAGCCCGTTCTACATAAAGTGGCAAAGCCAGCGAGAGAGAAGGCTCGAAAGCAATCCTTAATGCCTCCCGTCTGTGTGCTTTCTTCTTTCCATAGCAAAGAGGCACACCGGAGTAGCCAGATGGAACAACAGCGTGAAAAGGAACAAGCGGGTTGCGTTCAACGTGTTCGTGGCCCTCCCTCTCGCAGAACTGCTCGATTCTTCATTTCGTGCAGAAGCGACACAGCTCCTGCAGCCTCATCTTCTCTTCTTTAGGCGCCCGTAGTTGGGGGGGGGAGGTTCCCAAAATGAGAGATTGAGGGCCCGGACGTGTTTGGAGCCCCAAACTATGGGCTAGCACGCTGACATGACATTAAAGGTGTGGTAGCTTCTCCAGGTGTGCACATGAAAAAGCCACGAGGCCTAGGGGTATTGTTCATTTATTTCGTATTCGGGAAAGAACTGCTTCAGTTTGCAAGCCCACGGCTCTTAGTTCTTCTCAAGATACCTTGCAGCAGAACACCCTTTCATATTCACAACATAACCTGACACTTCATGACTTCTGGGGGAGTGTGTGTGTGTGTGTGCGCCTAAACGACTCGAGGTCTTGAGTCGTTACTCGGGGACACACCCCGCACGACGTCATCTGCACTAGCAGAGCTGCGTGACACGGAATATTGGTGAGGTTCAGCATGATGCTCGCCGAAAACAGGCAGGCCTTACACGCACTGAAATTTTCCTTGGGAAGCTTGCGACAACTGTTCACTCAGAGCGGATGCTGCCGGGGCTTCCATGCCGGCATGGCGCAAGCACCTGTCAAATACAGGGTGTGTTCCAAGCCTCAGTCGCCTGCGCCACTTGGGTCTTCAGGGACCTCACAGGACGTAGCCTATATTCCAAGTCACTAAAATTGTGTAGGCAGCTGGTGATATTCCCACAAGGACATTTTAGCCTGCGGACAGCAATCAAAATGCGCCAGCCGTTCCAGAAACAACTTTTGACAGTCCCTGAAATCAGCCTGCGTGTTGAGCACGGAGTCACTATGCCGCATAGCCATCTTGCTGTTCCTGCTGAGAAGTGTCTCCAAAATCTTCTGTTGGAGCTTTAGAGGGCAGAACGGCATGCAAGCATGCACGTGCAGTCCTACCTATGCCACACCACGATCTTTATCTTCAACAGAGAGGTTAAACGATGAGACCCCTTTACGGCGATTACTTGCCATGCATCGCGGGAACATAGAGTAACATACGCATACAGGGGCTGACTTGGTGCAAACTGTTGATGAGACCACCCCCGGCCCTCACTGGAATAGTTTCACTTGAAGTATCCCTGATCCTCAGCCTCCGCTAATGGCTAGACTTTGAAGGAGGTTTTCCCCAAGATCGCCACCTGAGAACGAGCCACAGGCTAAATTCACGCATCAACGAGCTAACATAACACGAGGGATGGGAGGTAAACTTCTGAGAGCCCCGTGAGATCCTTGGTGTACATGACGAGGGGTCGGGACCTCGGCAGCAGGGCTTGTCAGGGGTGGCCCCTGAAAATGTTGACCGATGGTACCCGAGGGCTCTGTCGAGAAGTCTGAGATTGCTATGGATCATGGGATTACATGGGGGGGTTTCAAGGTCTCAGAGTGATCTGGATAAAACAGACTGAAGCAGCAAACCAGGACGATGACAACATGAAAAAGCCAACATCGGAACAGCCGACGGCGGGAAACTGGCGTTGCTTTTACAGGACTTTGCCAGAAGGTCTAGGGGCAAGCTGAGCTTCTTCGGCCATCGAAGTTACACTTTATCGTCGGCTTGGTCGTGTGCACTTATTCTTTCACTATCCAAAAAGGTGTGTGCAGATACATATATATGTATATATCTATATAAAACACAACCATCCAGAGAAGATGTTTGGAAAGCAAGCCTTCGCTGACGTTGACCTCCTAACAATCCGTATCCACATGCTGAGGTGCGAAGATGGAAGAATCATGACTGAGAAGCACTTGTAAACGTCGGTAAAGGTGATCGTAGACTACCTTTGGTTTTCTTTGCTCCCGGCCAGTCTTGCAGATGACATGTACAAGAAATCTTCTCAGCGTCACTTCCAATCTTGAAACTTATTTAATGCAGGCACATGAAACGCTGTGTGGTCGTGCAAGCCTGCTGGGTATGGAAGAAGACTTCAGGGGTCAAACGAGTCAAATGCGATGTTTTGACGAGTGGCAGGTCATAGCTCGGAAGGAAATCGCCCTTCTCGTCGAAGGTATACTTCACCTGCACTGTGCGACAGTAGTCATCGCCAACTGACCCCCTCAGAGACACCAGCGAAGCCACGAACAAGAGCATGTCATAGCATGTCCCTGCGTGAATACACAGAGAGTCCTGAATGACAGAAACAGTTCCACATGGTTCCTCATGTCCCACGTGGACACCCTTAAACCAGAAAAGCACAAGATCAAAGGCCGAGTGCATGGTGCCCCGCCTGGAGCTGGCGGCCCTCTTCCTTGTACCACCGGCCTTATGGCAGCACACACAATGTAGAGACAAGCAGAGGGCAGCGAGCTACTCGACGTAAGCACACCATCCCCAGCGGGGATGTTCTCTCTCTCAACACAGCCGCTTTAAATCCGGAGCCCAGTTTCGAACTGCGGCATCCAGGCGCCGCTCCTCCTGCACTTGGAGGGTTTTCTCGTGAGCTGTTGAAGTGCAGCATCGGTGAAGCTGGTTTTCCCATGCCGTTGAGGCCCAAAAGGATCCCATCTTGCGCTAAGACCGCTAAGCCCGAAGCCGCCGAAGCATGCTGACAACGCTGCCCGGATGCGCCTGCTCCTTGCGGAACTCGTCTCTGCTGACGATGGGACCTCCAAACTGCGGGTTCTTGGGGTGGCTTTGGGCCGGCAAGAGCGGACAGGTGAGCATAACACAAGACGCGCATAGGCCGCACGGTCTTCAACCCGGAAGTGCCCCCTGCCATGTTGCCAGTTGCTACAGCGAGCATAAGTTTCACGATCCCTTCCTGCAAGTTTAGCCCACAAACGGGCTGCTTTGAGGGGCGTGCGGCATACGAGCACATGGGGGTGACACTCCTTTGGCTGTTAAGGCCAACTGGACATCCACGGCGTACAGAAGGCTTGCAACTAGAAGCCAGCACTTAGTTTCCATCTGTGCCTTCAGACTTCAGTTGAGTAGGTGAGCACAGGCCTGCTCAAGCAACTGGGCTTTGGGCTCCCTGTCTTATTGACACCAGGCCCTCTCCACGGCCACAGCATGCGAACATTTTGGGCACTGAGGCACCTTTGATGTCGTCTTCGGGGCTTCAGTTCTTGCATCTGGGCAGGAAACCGAAAGAGGTCTCTTCCGGCCACCTTTTCCTGTGCCACCCGACACTGAGCGCTTGCTTGTTTAAGGGCAAGTGCCGAGGAGGGTACCGTGTGTCTACCTTGTTGCCGCTCCCTGGCTCCTGCGGAGTCATGTTTTAAATTGCCATCCAGTTCTTTCGGGTGCCTTTCGAACTGTCATTGGCAGTGGGGCCCACTTTTGCCCCACAAGTGTCTACACGCGGCCCCTTGAACTGTTGGCTCTGTTGTATGGGCCCCACTGTATTCAGGGCGGCAACTTGACTTCCACATCTGTGGCTTGCATGTGCACTGGATTCCCGAACAGGCCAGGGACGACCCCCCCCCCGGTGTACATGGGCCATCAGAGCCAAGCTTCGGCTCTGGTCCCGGCAAGGAGGAATCTGCGATGCCACCGTTTTAGAGCGGCCCCGGCTCGAGCTTCTAGCATTATCTCTCTATCTCTCTTTCCCTCTTTCTTCCCCATTAATTGCGGCTCGTGAAGCATTCCATGTTGATGGGGGAGGGGGGGGTCCTTAAAACATCGATGGCGGAGAACTGACTCTGTGGGAGGTTCGGCCAGGGTGGCCATGGTGAACATCAACCTACTTTCCAGCAGCTCACTTCAGCCGTGTTGCATTTCTTCTCGAAGCCCTTCTTGAGCACGATGGCATCATCAATCTTGTCCTTGCTTCAAGACGCACAGAAGCTGTATCGGTGGCGATCTGTCTGCGCGAACGCTGAAGGCAAGACCCTAAGACCAGAGAGATCCGAAACTAGGCCTATCTCAAAGGGCAATTGGGCGTGGGTGCGGCATCCCTCCACTCTTGGAAAGCTTCCTGTGTTTCACATGCACTTAGGCTACTTTTATGCTAATGACACTCAACATTCAAAACGCAACGCTCTCCACTGCTCTTCGAAGCTCTCGAAGCTCTCGAAGCTCTGAGAACTGGTGACCTAGGAACCTTGGAGTCGACGGGGATCCCCTTTGGCCCTCTGAGTCTCAATGTTTCCGAATCCACTACTTGTCACTTGGTAGTAGCGCCTGATCAAGAGCTCCAGGGATTCCAGCTCAGCGGCGGCCACGATGACTTCAACGGCGCCAGGAGCTCTCAGCTTCTGCAGTGCCTCGCGCTGCCCAATCACGAGCACCTTGATGCCTGGCGGGCATACTACGTTGGCCCTTGTGGATGTGTATGACGACAGCTACTGTACAGTACGCACGGCGTGTTTCGGCCTTGGCGTCGGAAGTATTCCACCGCTTTCTCCACACCCTCGAGCGCGAAGAAGCCTTGTCTTCCCAGCACCTGTGTGCAGGCATGTACTGCGGGACCATGAGAATGAACAGCACTCACACAGGAGAACCACGCCGCACCCGTCCACCGTAGGTGAACCCGATGTTTTCAGCATCGAGAACACGGCTATCCAGGTCCTTGAAATGCTGGGGACGGCAGTTGTTGGACCAAAGGACTGAGAACACAAAACCTGGGGGGGGCTAGGAGGTGCGGAGGCCTCTCAAAACAATCCTTGGACTCTGTACATGCATGGGTCCTACAACCCTTCTGGGCCGAGGCGCCAACTACAACACATTTCGACTTGCTCCATTAAACCTACAGCTTTACAGCTTTTTCAGTCTGCATTGGACCAAATCTCACATCGCACGATGCCCAGCAAGAGAAGAGCTATCTGCATCGGAAGCATCGTGCGTGTAAGCCAGCTTCGTATAACTGTCGTTGCTTCCTCAGTTGACCAAAGGCATCACGAAGGTAAGGCTGTTACACACCACTTTGTCTCCGAACGTGACGCTGGCACGACGCATCACTCCAAAAGCAACGCGCAAACCTTGACAGAAGATCCCAAAGCTTCATTCAGACAGGTTCATTCCCATGCTGAGATATTCCGAGGCTCTCCCAGCCAGCCAGAGATTCGTGTAGTTACTTGGGTCCGTATCGGTACCCAGCGGAATGTCATCCTCACTGCGTTTGAATAGCAATTTGGCTGCTCTATGCTCCTCTGGCAGGTCTTCACGCGTTCGCGAAGGCCTTCGACAACCTTCGACAACTGCAAACCCTACGCATCCTTGCAGCCTAAATCCTGAACTCAGCCTTAGTAGCAGAAAGAAGGCACAAGCCACAAATCCTTCCACGTAGTGAAGGATGCAGGGTTTCGCGATGGCAGCCCTTCTCCGAAACATCTCCACCAAAGCTATAGGAATCAGTGCGCATTGACGGGGCTCTGAGCTCTGAGCTCTGAGCTCTGAGCTCTGAGCTCTGAGCTCTGAGCTCTGAGCTCTGAGCTCTGAGCTCTGAGCTCTGAGCTCTGTGGCTTGTGCGAGAACTTGCGAGCACAAGAACAGATGGCACCAGAGGATGCTGGAAACCAAAGGCCTACAGTACAAGTAGTTGCCCAAAAAGCTGAAGTCTGGCTTTGCAGATTGTAAGAATGCGCAATCTGGGACTCGGCAGCATACCAGCCATGGGAACCTACTTTTAACGCACATGCCGCATACCCTTCACAACAACTGCAACGCCGAGGCACCGTTCCCGTCGTTCGGATGGTCTGAGCATCCTCCTCAAAGGTAGGATTGTTCTATTTCAAGCAATCATGGCAGGATACGGAGACCGCCTCACTCATCTCCACTTCAGCAAAAGAAGGGGAATCCAAAACACGTACGTTTAAAAACAAACGGCTACAAACATGGACAGATTGCACAGTGGATCCGAGGTCCACTGAGCACCGGGGCCCCTGCGGCCCGCCACGTGGCCTGGCGCAAGGCGTCCGCCACATGCGGCTCTGGCCCTGCCGGCTCCTTCAGCGAGGAAAGGGGGTCACACTTGCGCGCCACGCCTAGAATCGAACCCTCAAGTTCGCTTCCCAGCCCTGCAAAGGGCAGCTTCGGGACCTAAACCCACTTGAGGTCTTGTCGGGGCGTCGCATCGGGGTCACAAGACGGCAACGAAAAAATGGTGCCCCCTTCAGCAAGTCTCAGGCGCAGGCCGCTGCGCGTGACCGTGGGGGCTCTGTCACCAAGGGCTGCCTGAGCAGCTTCGTGAGACACAATTGCCGCCCCCTTGCACAACCGAGACTTGTGTAGTATATATATATATATATATATATCCATGTATCTCTCTCTCTCTCTCTCTCTCTGTGGCTGTGTCTAGAAAAAGATCTACATGAAAGAATTGCGTACATGTGATCATGGCAGCTGCAGGGTATACCCCCCACCCTTCGGGAGGAACTGCCAGCCTCACCGCCCCCTCACCCCCCCCCCCTCATCCCCCTTCCCCCCCCCCCCCCCCCCCCCCCCCCCCCTCAACCCCCCAACCCCCCCACCCCCGATTTTGCAGCTGAGCAACGAGAAGACTACCTCCTCCCCATCGTCGTCCTCTTGACACTCCCGGGTGAGGTTGCATGGGCCAAGAATTCCGTGGAGATCCCGTGTAGGGTTCAGGGTTTAAGGTTGAGGGTTTAGGGGTACTTTGGCGCTTGGCGGTTTAGGCTTGCTTACTGGCTGAGTTCTCTCGAGGGATTAAGGTTGCTCCGTGGGCTTCGGGGACACTTCGAGAACCCCTAGGCCACCGGCTCAGCTCCTCTTCTACAGCTCCCCTCACGTCCACCTCCACCACGGCCTCCTCGACAATCCTTGGGCCACTGCAGGCACTCAAGGGCTAAAGGGCACGCAATCTGAACACAACCGATCCTAACCAAAGGCTCATGCCAATCATGGCCAGGATGTTCCACACAGAAAAAAAGGTCTCAACTTAAAGCTAACAGCATCGGCCCGAAACCCTCTGCCACAACCCCCCCCCCCCACTCCTTTCAGGGGCAGGCCGCCTTCCAATCTTGTTTGCCTTGCTTGCCTTCTTCGGCTTCGGCACCGCCGCCTCCGCCGGTGCAGCCTCCACAGTGGACTCCACTGGCCAAAAAACTTCTCGACAAACGACTGCTAGGGGACAGGAGCAGGAGACGCCGTAACCAAAGCCATCTAAGTCCAGAGGCCCCCAAAACAGGGAGGTGTCTCAAGAGAAAAGGAATAACATGACTCATGCAAGCCCGACACTGCCGCAAGCCCACAGTTGCGGCCTGGGAGGGACCTGCTGAACCGCCGGTAGCAGACGGGTTTGTCGCGGGCCCCCGTACTTCTAGCCACGGCGGAAGATCATCGCCCAGAGCAGAAGCCTTGCCGAAAGGGGTTGGAGATGCCGAATGTGCATAACAATGACAAGAGTGGTTCTACACGACATCCGTCAAGAAACAAGTAGGACAGGACAAAGCGACCACAGAGACTCTCAACGTTCCGCGATAAAGGCCCACCGCGGGCCCAGCGCAAGTACTCAAGTGCTCGATAGTGCTCTCAATCTGAGCCATGACCCGAAGATTTACACAATTCTGACGACTCAGCCCTCAACAGGAACATGACACAACCGCCTCAGCGAACCCCAAGGGAGTCCTGAGGCTGGCGGGTCGGCTCCATCGGTTCCACGTTCCCCGTCGCAGCGCCAGCAGTGCCCCTTGCAGGTACCTCAGAGCACTCTGAGAGCAGAGCCGAAGAAATTTTGGGCTCTCTTTGACTACGGAATCCATTTCAGCAGCCTCGGCAGCACGTGGTGGCGCCACCGGCTTCTCTCCAGGCCGCGGCATCTGCAACAGCTCTCAGGGGAAAAGGAAGCTGCTGTTGCGACACTCCGTACAGGGCACTTCGAGAGGCATGCTAAATGCGGACCAATGCAGACCCCCTACCACGAGTCAAAAGAATCGGAAGAGGCATCCACGAAAGAACCCTCAGACTGGAATACTCGGAGCGGACCTGTCGGCGGATGCTTGACGCCTCAACCAAGATTTGGGCATTAAACAAAAGTGCTCTAACGAACTTGTCAAAGGGCTGCGGAACGTGGACTTCGCTGTATGACCACTGCGCCTCGTCTTGGCTGCCTTGGCCTAATTGAACCCCCCTTCTGTGCCGCTCTTCGGGGTCGAGGCGCAAGCTGCTGCATCTCGGATGACACGGGCCCGTTTCCTTTGGCGCGGGCGTGTGCAAGCACGGGGCATGCTACTGCAGATTCGGGCACCTCATTTTTGTGAGAGACCTCCATCCGTTAAATAGTTGATAGGATTTGCAGAGCCTGTGAACAGAAGTGCGCAGGGTTCAGGATCTGAACAGCACCACCGCGTGGCCTCCCGACAGAAGCTTCGTGACGGCCAGCGCTGTGTAGATCGCACGCTCCTTTATGACATTCGCAGCCAAAAGAAATCAGAAGAACACAGGAGAACATGGCACCCTCCGGCAAGTCCAAAACCCGGCTTTGTGGGTCCCAGGCGCTCGCTTGCGAGCGTTCGAGCCAATCCCAACGGCCCTGCTACCCTCGATCGAGGACACCTCAGCTACCAGCTACGTCGACCGGGACACATTGCGAGACACGGTGGGGGATAAGGCGCATAGCAACGCCGGGCTGCAACGAAGTGGTAGTAGTTCCAATTGGCATCATCCAGCCGCTGCAGCTGTCGAGCAACTTCCTCTGTGCATGGCACAACTACACCCAATACACCCAATACACCCAAGTGCGACGAAGCATTGGGCACACCTGCACTGGAGGGCTGGCAGCCGTTCGTCCTGGGTGCAGTCAACTGCAGTCTGCAGTGATATGTCGAGCGTGAAATGACTGTGCATCAAAAAATGGGTATGCCTTTTGCGTATGTCGCGCCCATTTAGTTCATACGAATGTCGCAGACTCGTCTTCAAGACAGGTCTCAGATCCCTTGAACATCCTCAATGGCCCTTTACTGGCCTTAGGGTTGTGGAATGTCCCGGAGGGAGGTTTGGGGCTGCCGGTGGTGGTTTGCGAGTGCTGGCTGGTCTCCGTTCTGGAGTTCAGAAGCTCGGGTGTTGAACTCGGGAATAAGGGCATAAACATGGACAAGGCCCGGATCTTGCTCGTAAGCATTCATCCCCCCACAAGCAAAACCCAAAATAGGGTGGCTTTGTGTCGCTGGGTATGTCGGTCCGGGCATCACGGTGGCACTGCATTTGGGGCCACTTAGGCGCAAACACCGCTCATGGACACTATCGGCCTACAACCCTACGGCAGGTGCGAGGAGAGGCCCCGGCTTTTTTTAAACCCGATGTGGCAAGAAAAGATCCACCGCAAGGGCCTGTTACCGTATTTGGTGAGCAGCCCACGGGTTTTAGTATTCAGGGCCATCGGAACGCCCAGTCCTTCAAGGGCAGCTCCGTACGAGCCGTCAAACTCCTGCCAGACTACACACTACACAACCTTCGCACCTCAGTGGAGGCAGCGGAGAAAACACCCATCAGCGTGACTACATGGCTAGGGAAGTTCCGTGATTTCCGTGCGCCTGGTGGATGTCGGAGTATTTGGAAATTGAGGGGAACCTCGGCAAGGGTCGGCAGAGTCAAGTCTTGCGATCGGAGGTAACGCACCTTCACCTTCACACACACACACACACACAGTCACACACAGTCACACACACACACACACACACACACACACGAGAGCGACAGAGCGAAGCTCTCAAGAAACATGAAGAAGCTCGGCATCCCTCGCTGCACACCAGGCGGCAGTGCCCGGGCATCCACTGCAGCCTGGCAGATGGTCTGAGCCCCCCCCCCCCCCCCCCCGGCACTCGCCCCACTTCAAAGAGACAGAAGACGCGGGCGACGCGGGCGCAAACTCCCGGTGGAATCCTCCCCGACTTTCCCCCCCGCCTGCTGGAACAGCGGGTCCTTGTCGTTCAGGCACAGCACGCTAATTAGGGGCGGCTCGGCACCTGAACTCGCCGGGCTCGGAGTTGGCAAGGTTGCAAGGTGTTGCCGTGCGAGCAGGGTTCACAAGTTTTGCAGGATTCAGTTTCATGTTCGTAGGCCTTGTTCGGAGCCTTCGTTGCAAGTGCCTTAGCAGGCTTAGCCAAAGGCCTTAGCCAAAAGCCTTCACGAACTCCGAACAAAATCTTCTGGGGAGGCATCTTACAAAACCCCTCAACTCCTGAAACGATGGGACAAGGTCAAATTCCGGGACGGGCAGCTGAGGAGGCAGATCTCCACGTTTGTCAGGTTCAGGTCCAACCGTGTCATGGCACGGCAGCAAGGGGGTGTGCGAGGGCACTGAGCAAAGGAACTGGGCATGAAGTTGAACCGATGGCTCATCCACAAAAACTCACGGAAACGACAACAGCTGGGCGTAGAGTGCCTGTCAACACGCACTTGCAGAGGCATGCGCATGCAAATGCACATGCTGCACACCCCCAAAGCATGCCACATCACGCCACAGACGTTGCGAATGATTCCGATGAAATTGGAAATAGACTTCGATAGACTGCCACAAAGCCTCTGACAAGACACCAGAACCACTCAGGAACACAGGAACCAAACCCTGCGGCTTCGAGAGCCCAACCCATCTGCCCTGACATCAATCCTAACAGCTTTCCCTTGGATCCTTGATCTTCCGCATGAAGAGGCCGGCTTCGTAGCCGAGCTCCTATGCGCCCACTAGCGGAGCTTCTCGTCAGAGTCTGTTGTCAATGTGCGGGGATGTCTGGGGGGGGCTTTCTGGGAAGCACACAAGCTGCGCGAATTGTCGAGCCTTGTCATGCCTTGTCCTTGAGAGAAGAGGCTTTTCAGGAACTCCCCCGCAAAGGCGCAAGCAACCCCGAGCCAACACTCACCCTGCCTGGCTGGTCGGCAACTTCGACTGAAGAGCTTCAACCAGCTCCTCCCACGAGAAGCGGTGAGAGAGAGCGAGAGGAAACGGGGGCGGGGAGGAAAGGGAAAGGACTTTCTTTCAATTTTCTTCTGAGAACGATGAGAGTCAACCTGTCTTTCCGTCTGTGAGATGCGCGCGTGCGCGTGGGGGGGGGTGGGGCTGGTGACACATGATTTTGTGAAACTCTGAGTAGACTCTAAGGGAGAGAAGGATTCGCTGAAACAAATCTTCTTCTCGCATATTTTGTGAGCACACACTTTCTCTCTAGCTCTCTTTCCACACCTTAAGGGCGAGGCACTCACTCTCCTCTTCTTCTTCCTCTTCTTCTTCCTCTTCTTCTTCCTCTTCTTCTTCTGCTTCTGCACACTTTAGGGGCCCTCCCCTCCGAAGAGGAGAGCCCGGCCACGACCAAGCGATTCACATCTCCACAGAGAGGGCAGCCCCTGCCTTCGCCGTGGCGACCTTCGAGGTCTGTGACAGCAGCCTGCAAAAAGTGTGGAAGCCACGAATCAACTCACGCACAATGATGAATTCGGAGTTTGACTCTATACTCTTCATGACTCTCAATTTACTGCGGAATCTCCGAAAACATTGGGGAAATCCCCCACCACTCGGACCTCTCGCCGCTCTCCTCTTCGTCGTCCCTGAGAGCGCAGAAAGTGGAAGAAGAGGAGAAGAGGCGGAAAAAGTGGTTTGAAAATATGGGGAAAGCAGCGAGCAGAAAGCGACGTCAAAGTCTCACTTCGGAAAGCGTATAGGAGGCCATCTGAAATGCCCATCCATTTCTCACACTCTGTAGGAAGTAGGAACCCGCCTAGTTCGAGCTGAGCACTAAACTTACTAAACCTTTATAAACCTTTAGACACCACTGAGGACCCGGCTCCGAGCTCTCATCCTCCGCGAGGTCCTTGATCCGCCGCGCCTGCTTTTGTCAAAGTGCGGGGGGGAAGCTCGGCGAGCCCTTTCCACTCCGGGAGACGACTGCCAGGGGACTCTGCAAGAGAAACTGTGCCAGGAGAGTGTGCCTGGGGACTGCGCAAGGAGACTGCAAGGGGCGTCCGGTCTCTGACAATTGGCGCCTTTGTCTCTCAGAGGCCTTTCTGTTTCGTGCCTTCTCCTTTAAACAACTCGCCAAGCCCTCTTTGCAGTACAGCAAACAGCACCTTCTAACCAAGAACCAGCAGATGCTGGCATGTCCCAGTGTAAGCCGACGCCGGGGTGGCCTCCAACTTGCGGGAGAGCCCCAAGCTAATCAGGCCGGTTTCGAAGTCCTTGCACATTTCGAGATCACTTGCAGATAAAGCCAAGATTGCCTTGCGCTCAGCCCTGGACATCTCTAGACCTGGACTCCAGACTCTTTAGGCCCTTTGAAAAAACTTCTGTGCAAAGGTGAGGTACGGCAGGCCTCACAATGATTCCACATCCCCAATCATGCAAAAAATTGGCGAGGACGCATGTGGGTTCACTTGCATTCAAGTACATGCGGAAAAACAAAGCAAAACAATGCACAACTAAATGACTACTGCAAGCCGACACGAAAGAACTCGATGCACATCCAAACAAGCCACTCGCAGGCATTCCTGGTCTGAAAATTTCATACCTTAGCACCCTGTTACCCCATTTACCCCCCGATTGCGAGGTCAGAATAGAGCACAAAGCACACAAAAGGTCCCAGAAGGATTCGCATCTGCCCCATTCTTCGTCCCGGCCTTCGTGCCCTGGAGGACCTCCGAGGTGGCCAGGCCCCTCGTCTGACGATCCTTCTCCTCTGCAGCATTGCAGCCCTGGAAGACCCCAGTCATATGACGAACTCGCTCCCCTGTTGATACGCAGCTTGCCAATTGCTGAGGTTGCTATATGTTCTGTCAGACTGTCACACACGTCATACCGCTCTCCTGCTGCTTCTTGAAGACGACCTCATTAAATCGGGCCTCTGCACCCTCCCTGGCCATTCGTACCTCACGAAAGGGCCGTTTCAAGGCTTAAGTTGGGGGGCAGACTATAAATCGAGAACTTTTCCTGATTGGCCCTGGGAGGGAGAGAGAGTGAGAGAGAGAGGAAGGGAGAGGAAGGGAGAGCGGCAGCGAGGGAGAGCGACAACGTGAAGCAGGGCGCAGCGCCTTCATGTTCTCTTGCCAGAGCTCGTGCCCTCGAGCCTCCCACTCATCTTTGGCGGCCTGCAGAGGTCATGGCCGCTGCTTCCCGAGGCCATCAGGACGCTCTGGCTTGGGGATCCGTCATGCTGGAATCTGGAAATCACGCTAGGCACGCGCGGTCCAGGACCACGAATTCAGAGCCCGGCCTAAGAAATCACAGACCCCCCGAACTGCTTCGAAACAGGCAAGCTGGCCGCCCCACCCGGTTCTGCCGCAGCCGCTCGCGCAGGCTAAATCGGTGGATCTGTCGCTGCTCGTCCACGTGGGCCTGTCTCTTGTGTCTGACCGAGGGTCCTTTAGATTCAAAGCTCGAGGTTGGTCCTGGAAAACGCCTTCAAGCGGCTCCTTAATTAAGGCCTTTAGGGATCCCGAAGCCGAATGACCGAGGATGACCGAGGGCTGAGGGCATGTGCCTGCTCGATGTTGTCCATTTCAAAGGCTACAATCTCCTGCTTGTGCCTCGCATGGCAAGATGGCTAGGTTATGTCAGGAAAAAAGGGTGAACGGCTTCAGCCAAATCAGTCGAACGCAAGCTGCATGGTGAGGAGGGCGCTTCTCCAGCTCGAACTTTCGGGTCAGCTTCTCCATACGAGCTTGTCTTACCTGCCACAGGAAGAGGAACTTAATAGCATTAACCGACAACCCGCGCAAGTGCTAAGACTCCCAGAACACGGTGCGGAACTCAACCATCTTCAACACCTCTTAACAGAATCAGCCAGAACAAAAGCTGGGAGCAGTTGGGATGTCCAACCTTCGTGGAGGCGCCGGGCCAGCCGGCGCTGGCCTAACCGAGGGGCCGCGGTTCGGGGGGTTCGGGGGTTCGAGGGGTTCGGGGGCTCAAAGTGCTGTGCTAAGAACATATGTGGAACACCGTGGAACTTTGGTCGGCAGCAACTTCACGATATTTATTTGATGGAAAGTCATTTTACTCCGAACATCCCCACCCTCTCTTGGTCGAGATACTCTGGAGTTGGGCACTCCAGGGAGACTCTGGGGCTGGACACTCCGGAAACACTCTGGGACTGCCGGGACTCGGCACTCCAGGCCTGGGCTCTGGGGATGGGTTGGGCACTCCAGGGAGAATGGGCACTCCAGAGCTCCGGAGACAGAGGGAGACTCTGGGGCTGCACCGCACTCCGGAAACTGGGCCAGGGAGACTCTGGGGTTGGGCACTCCAGAAACACTCTAGAGTTGGGCACTCAAGGGACACTTCGGGGTTGGCACTCCAGGGATGAGCGCGAGGAGAAGAGTTCCGGGCGAGGAGAGAAGTTGAGTTTAAAATCCAACAACCCCACACCGAGGGTGGGGAAAAACATGTAGAGAGAATTAGCTGAGAAGTTATATGACATAGGCAACATAGGCTGGGCCAGTCTGAGGATGGGAGTTTCAGGTCTCTCCGTCGTGTACAGCTTGGAAGTCACCTGCGTCTCCAACGACGAAGCTTGCAGCGCCAGGATCGGGCGCTCACTCCTGGAAGCAGTTTCAATACGTGCTCGGGGACTTACAACTGTCAAGTGCTGCCGCAGAACTGTTTCGTGCTAAAACTCACCCACGTCATCCAGCAAAACACCCATACACTCCTCTCCGATGCCATTTTCAGCTGGTAGAGGAGCCTGCACGCAGCCGCCAAGCACCCAAGCTCGCCAGAGTTCAGATGCAGCACAGATTCAATCGAATCCGAAACTCATCCAATCTCAGAGTCTATGCCGACTTAACATGGAGCATCCTTGTGAGTCAACCTCACCTATTACATCCCCAAACAACCACCTGATCGTTCTGATCGAGGTTCGATGGCAGGCTGAGACACCAACTCATTTGCCTACTCCGGAAAGCCCACATTCGCCACTGGAAACGCCAAAAGCCTCAACGCTGCCCCGCGCTCGCCATTCATCACCTCGGCCACGTTCGGTGTCGAGCATTGATGAAGAAATGCTGGCACAGCCGGCGCCAGCCGACCAAAAACTGCTGACCAAAAGCAAACCAACCCTTTCCATCCTTGGCAAGAGCCTACAGGGAAGCCGGCATCGAAGTAACAGCAGGCCCTTGGGGATCGGATTGGGGAAACCTCTCTTTCCGACACAAGCTGGGTGAGAGGGCCGCATTGATCAGCGTGGCATTGCATTTGATGCCCAACGCCTCCGCTTCACGATTGACTTAGCTGGTTCTCTGGTACTGAAGACCTCACCCCCAAGATCCTTGCTGCCCTACCTGGAGGGCCGAGTCTCGGTGTAGCGAAATCAAGGAAGGGGGGCCTTGAGGATGGGTTCCAGTGTCTTGAAGTTGGCAATCTTCGCTTGGTGCGAATTCCTCAGCTCCAACACAAGGTCATCTCAATGGGGAGTGTTGTGCCTATTGTCTCAAATCTGAGAATCTCGGCTGCGGTAGTCGGGCGGTGGATTGTGAGTCCAAGACACTAGCACAAAGCCCGAAAACCCCCAAACCGATAACAACGATGCCCCACACAGAGGTCCCAAGGAATGGCAGCTCCCGTTTCCACTCGTCCACGTCCTCCTCCCGTCAACCAATATCGCACTCTCCCCGTGTGCACACCTCCCCCACGCCCTGCCTGTCAACCGGGTGAGGGTAGGTTCTCCCGAAAAGCCCGTGGGCATACCGACGGCTGCACAGCAACAACCGAAGCAGAAACGCAACACCGCAAGACACGAACCAAGTAGTACCAAAGGAGTACCAAAGATAGTTACGGTCATTGAGTTCTCACAGGCTTTCACAGCAGTTTCTCACAGCCAAAATAGAAGCAAACACCATTGAAATTGAAATTAGAGCCCTCGTCAACCACTGTTGGCTTTGTGCAAAATCCGAGGTTCTTGTTCTGGAACTGCTCCGCATCGGCCTGTAGAGAAAGAGCAGCTTGAGGCAAGCATCGGTCCACTGCTGCATCGCTAACGCAACGACGTCTTCCCTGTGCCAGGCCTGACCCTCTCTCCTTCTTGAGCATCCCCAAATATCTGTGTATCCCCGCACGTACCGTATCGTGTGTGTCTGCACCCGCTCTGGGGGGCTCAGTGGAGGAATGCTGCCCTGAGTGGACTCGAGACATTTTCTCAGAGCACTCAAAAAAACTCCTTGCAAACTTTCAAGATGCCAAGCATTTGCCCTTGGACACGTGGAAACTGGCCTGCCAGAACTTGTGCAAGATCTCACCGAAGAGGTAGCCGGAAGCGAAGTCCTGGAATGCTTGCAGAGGCGGCTTTGTGCCCGGCTTCGCAATCTCAAGGTCCTTGTGCCTTTGACGTGCTCATGACTCCAACTTGACCAAACACAACGAGGGGAGGTTCTACCGGTGTGGACTCTTGGGGCCCTTTACACAAGGCCTTCTCAAAGTTGGAGACGTTTGTTGACAGGCCGACCTTCACGCTTGGGCAGCTGGGGAGTGGGGAACTGCCAGGAACAGCTTAGACAACTCCTTCAACATCACTGGAGAGACGCTCACTGGAGAGCTTCCGTTGTCGCACTGGTCTGGGCACTCATTGCATCTCTCACTGCTCACAGCATGCAAAATTCTAACTACTGGTTCTGGAACTGTTGCAGCAGGACAAATTTGCAACTTGCGACCGGAAACCATTCAGGGGCGTGCCTCATTGTTCAGCCAGTTCTGAAGTAGTTCCGACATCAGGGGAAGAAGTGGCCTCAGCTCGACTCGAGGACTCCAAAACAAAATTCCACCCCCTGTAGACTTCTGTTCGACCCTTCGAGGCCCTGGCCCGGACGCTCTCCACGCCCCGCTCCTTCACCCCCATGGGGCCCCCCCTTTGGGGGTCCACTCTACGTCTGAGCCGCGATGCATTTCTTTGTATTTCGAAACGAATGCTCGCCAAGTCTCAGGCGAGGCCCGCAAGCCCCTTTCAGTCTCGATGCTTCAGCCGGCTCTAAGCTCAGCTCAGGACAGTCACATGGCATGCGAGCATCAACTAGAAGTGTTGTAGCTTCGGGGGCATTATCCCTTCTGTGCTCCAGCTTGAGGAATGAGCTTCTGACTAGAATCTATGCCCTCCCTGCGAGGCACGGCCCCCAACATGACCAAGCGCGCCACAGCACCTCAGAGCGTTGTTGTTGACCAATCTCCTCTTCTGTGAAACAGGGCCGGGGCAATTTCCGCGGCAGCCTTTGCTCTCGGTTGCTCAGACACCGTCTGAACTCTGCCTGATCTATTGTCGCACGCCATGCCAAACACTTGAGAGGTTGCAGCTGGTGCAAGGCCTGCATGGGGTAGCGACAATATCAGGAAGGTAGAGGTACCAGGATCGCATTCATAGCCATTGTCGATCTGTCATGCCAACTCTCCCCGGACATGTGGCACACATGACCCCCCAACCCTGCAGCCAAGCGAGCCGAAAGTTTCGGGACTGCAGCTAAAGAACGCAAAAGCTTTGCTGCGGGAAGGGCTGCACATGCGCTGCACATGCCCCCTCCCGCCCACAGCGTATGCACAGCGCACAGCCATGGTGAAAGACTTGAGATCTCTCGGGCCATCATTTTCGCACGGTGCTGCCGCCGTCGACATCCTTGCTGTGTGGTGTTGGTGCACAGCTGGTGGGTGCGTACACATGTGCTGTGAGGCGCACTGTGGAATTTCCCATATGCGAGGCGCGGCCCCAACATGATGAAGCACCTCAAAGTTTTCAATAATCTCCTACATGTTATACGGGGCCGCGGCCTTTCCACAGCAGCCTTCGCTCCCGGTTGCTCACATCTCAGAGATCTTCCAAGGCGAGCCGCTGCTTTGCGCCTGCCTTCTCGGGCCTCGACGTGAGGGCAAAACATGGCAAAACCAAAATCATTTTGCTTCGAACATCCCCTCGGTAGAGATACTCTGGAGTTGGGCACTTGTGGTTCAAGGGATTTCAAGGGTCTCCCTGTGCCGTATGAGGGCTCCGAGTGCTCCGGGAAGCTCCGGGAAGCGCTCAATGATCAAAAAGAGGAGGGTGATGAACTTGAGGGTGATGGATTGGGGAGAGAAGGGGGGCTTTACTTTGGGTTAACGGTGCAGGCAAATAAGTTGGCTGTTTGGCTTCTTGCAGATATTGAGCATGGCATTGGCGCAGGGAGGGAGCTCTCGCACGAACACCCCGAGTTCGAACCTGAAGTCTAAACCTCTGACCCTAGAGGCCCTAGAGGCCCTGCGCTGAAACTGCACAGAAAACCCGAATCCTTACTGGCCTCAAGTATGTCACCCCGGACCCCGGCCTCATCGATGGGTGTCGTAATTCGGGTCGTTCCAGTCCACGTACTTTCCCGGACCCAAGATTCCCCACCACGTGGTCCACACCCACTTTTGCCCTTTCATCGTGAACCTGTCGTGCTCCCCCTGTGCCTGCCAGGGACATCTGCGAGGGGTCTGTTGAGGATGTTGCGGAACCGACAGGTGGAGGCTTCAAACAACTGCCATAAGCTCCTACCTTGCGTCGCGCACGTGAGCCTTAAGCCCCCACTAGAATTTAAGATGCACACTTCTTCGCCTGTTCCCCTGCATGCTCGCTACATAAGCCTCTCCAACGAATCAGTGTCACCGCACAAAGAAATTGCGTGTGAAAACCGTTTGCGCGTCACGCCTCCCTGAAGTCCTCCAGGCAATCCTGCTTGACATCATGGGAGGCATCCCAGCACTGGTGAGCTTTCCTGTATCGCCAGTCGTTGCAAATCGCGCTGTGCGAGCGCCCGTGCCATGTATTCTGATAGATGTACTGCCAGCTCCACCACTCGCTGTAGCCTTTGTTCGTGCAATGCCAGTGCACGGGGTTCGTCAGATCATGTACAACCCAGTTCATTTCCAGCTTCACCCGGTAGTACTCGTGAGGGTCAAGCCCCACGGTGTCTGTCAAGGTCAGCTTGCCAATGAACGGATAATAACTGAGCTTACCCGCACTGAAGCAGTTGTTCCCCAAGCAGATCAGCTGCATTACTTGCTTGACGCCGGGTATGGCGACGCACACATTGAGGCCCACGTAAAGGCTGAATGTCGCCATGGCATCGATGGCGGAACCGCACACTCCTAGCGATGCACCGAGGGTCAGCTTGAGATCGAACATTGGGACCAGTGCCTTCTTGACGGTCATGCAGACTGTCTGGTCGGCAGTGATGCACGGGGCTGTTGCTTTCCGCATGGAGCCAATGCCGCTCCTGATATAACTGAAAACTGAGATTCCTGCGCCAAATGCTTCCTCGTCGTCTTTCGACTTCAGTTTCGACGTGTCTGGAGGAGGAAAGCTGAAACAGCTGCCCTGGATGCAAACTTTGGTGGACATTGGCGTCCCGCACCAGCCCACAGTCCACACCTTTCTCTGATCCTCGCCGCCGGCAAGCACCATGGCTGAGCTGTTAGAAACCTGATCCGCCCTGTGTTGACGCAGAGCCGCGTGGAGTTGCTTGTGAATATTGTCCGCGTGCTGCTCCAGGGCTGCATGGTGCTGGAGGTGGCATAGCACGGAGGGCTCCTGCAAATCGCAGAGGCACCGCTTGTAGCCCTTCAAGACCTCATGGTCGGGACCTTCGCACCTGGCATCCCGAACCCTGCGAAGCTCTGGGTGCAGGTCCAGGCGATGGAGCCGTGCCCTTTGACCACGGGTCAAACTCCCAGTCGCGACTTCGAATAGCTTCTGGTGGAAAGCCTGGCTCGCGCCGGAACTGGTGGAGCTCGAATCGCCCAGCTCCTGATGCGGACGCTCACGTTAGCATCTCTATGAGGTCTTATGTGTGGCAGCAAGCATCAGCAAGCATCAGGCATCAGCAAGCATCAGCTCTTTGCCCTCTTTTTGCTCCTGGAGGTGCTGCAAGAAGTGATGGCCAAGCTGATTTTCGCCAGTGTGTAAAGCCAAGACCTGCTTCGCGTGCGTCTCGATTTGATGCGACCTTTGCCGTGCTTACCACAGCTTCATGTTCTTGAAGCTCAGCTCATGCGCAACGAAGCTATGCCACTTGGCTTTGGCTGGTGAACCCCCCTACTCTATTCTCTCCCTTCTTCTGCCCAGCGGAGGGCCCCCCCCTAAAAGAAAAACCACGGCGCTGGCCCGCCGTCCTGTTCTGTGGTGAGAGGCGGCCCGCTGATTCTCTCTCTCTCTCCCTCTCTCTCTCTCTCTCTCTCTCTCTCTCTCTCTCTCTCTTCTCTCTCTTCTCTCTCTTCTCTCTCTTCTCTCTCTGCTCTCTCGCTGTCTTTCGAGGGCCCCCCACTACCGGCGCAACGTGCGCACCCCAGATGTTTCTGAGGATTCCAGATATTGGCGAGGGTACCCAGGACGTCCTGAAAGCACCCAAATAAGTAAGCATCCCGGCCATACCCCGCTGTCAGGACTTCCTCTGCTCCCAGGTGCCTGGTTGGGTATCATTGCGCCCTACATCTGCGGTGGCGAGGAAAAAGCGCGCACGGCCATCTGATCTGAGCAAAGTGTGTGCCGCACCCTTTAGCGACCTCACCCCGTACTTGATGGCTTGTGCGTCTTGAACTCGAGTTACTGTGGACGGTACATAATAGTGAATAAAATAATAGTACGTTTGTATTACTATTTTCATGTGTCTTATTGTTCACTTTATTACACTATTATTAATAGTATTGTTCCTATCATAATATTATTATATTCGTGCGTTTACACGGTTAATCATTTGTATCCAGGGGCGAACGTAATAAATACCAGGGTGAACGCTACAACCGCCGAAACACCCGGATGTTGGATTCACTCCGTTCATATTTTAATTGCAAAGAATTATAAACGAAGTACTAATGTGTTACCTTAATTTCATGCGTCCCGCGCTCTTCTTTTTATCTTATGCAAACAATTTACTGCATTGGTTTTTGTTTCGAGCTCTTAGCGCATTGTGGGTGTCCCTATCGCCTTCAATACCCGCAGGCCCAAATGCCATATCAGGCACTGGGCCATTGATATCTTGAAACGCCTCCGTTGACACTTCTTGCATCCGGGTCCACGAGAGTCATGAGAGTCTGTTTGGCCCGCATGTCGAAATTGGAAATTGGCTTGAAACCAAGCTGTGAGGCAAAAGAAGGCGCAGGAGCCTGTGGCAGCTCCTTCTTACAGAGCTCTTACCAGGAGACAGCCGGGAAATTGTACCGCAGCTCAAGCAGACATGAGAGGGAGTTCACAGTGTTGGCTCTTGCCATAGTACTGTATCTGATTTCTGGCTGGGGGCTGACTAGGTGTTGTGAGGATACGGCGGGGATTCTTCATAAGAATGCGAGCAATGAGGGGTAGAGGGGACGACACACTCCTGAGGCACGTGGCATGCAGCGACAGCGAGAGAGAGGGAAAGCGAGAGAGAGAGAGAGAGGGGTCGCTTGCGCCCCCGTCGGGGCGGCTCTCCCTTCGGAAAGGGCCTTGCGTGTGGAGAGAGAGAGAGAGACACCACCACTAGCATAGAAGTCCCCGGTACAAGCTGGGGGGCACCCTTGTGCCGGAAGGACTTCTAGGCCAGACGCCAGGGCAAATGCTGGGCTTGCATTGAAATCCGAAGGAGAGGGAGCTGGGCGGACTTCGAATTGAGGAAGGGGGAGTGGGCAGGGGCCTATTTGGGGGCACCGGGGGTTGCGTGACTTGTAACAATGGAAAGCGCTTGCACAAACGATGTACCGTTTAGAGCAATGGAAGGGGCTTGCATAAACGTTCCCACCCTAGAACGAACCAATTCCGGGCCATCCAGACAATTAGAGACACTTTTTGGGAATGCTCCTTTCCGGCGTAGTTATCTTACATTGCCCTGTGCGGGATTTTCTAGGGTGCGCACGGCAGGGAGGACTCTCTGCGGGATTTTTCGGTGCGGGCACTCGGGGAGGATACTCGGCGACTCGGCAAACCTAAGGGCAGGATTCTAGGGGGGGGGGGGGGGGCACTCTCTGCAGGATCCTCTGAGAGTGGGCACTCCAGACATCCCCCCAACACACCCTGGGTAGGGAAAACAAGGCCAGGACTGCGTCCCGTGCATCCTTGCAAAATTATAGAACGGTATGGTATGCGACCACCCTGCACGGGGCACTGCTGCAGGAACTTAGTGGTTGCTGCCCGACAGGAGTTGATGTCCACCCCTGGTTCTTTTTGGCTCCATGGTCTGTGAATTGCAGGCGACATCCAATCTGCGGAATCCCCTGACGCTGGAAGCACTGGCTGCCAGTTTGTGTTAAGGTACTCATATGTACTCTCATGAATCCTAAACTTTGTTTCGCGCCGACCTGCTTTAGTGCATGGCAGAAGTCCGTGCTGTGTGTCCGGTTCCCGTACGTCTGCCACACGTGTCCCGTCCGCGCACATATCTCTCGGACATGGACAACCAGGATCTGCACACGCTCGCCTTTGTATATCACCAGCTTATACCAGCTTCGGGATCTTTGGCGTGCGCATCAGCCTGCCCCCCCATCTTCCGTACCTCTCCCATACGTCCCCGCTCGGGTACACACATCTTGCAGATAGGGACCAGCCAGGATCAGACAATGATCAGACAGGATCGTGAACACAGGACACTCACCTTCAGCACATTTAACGGGACTCTTTCAGCAGTGCGCACCTCAGCGGGAGCGCACCTTGATTCCCCACCCGGCGTGTACGAGGCCGTCTGAGGGAGCACAGTCTCAGTCTCTGCCCAAAGCGATTTCCCGATAGCTTGCATTGCCTTTTGTTGCTTTACCGTTCTTTTGCTGGGGAGAAAATTTACTCGCGCCGCAGAAAATTTACTCACAACAATGACCTGAAAATCATTGCAAAACCTACCATGAAAACCAAGCAGTATCGAGACAAGACAATGAACATACTCGAAAATCGAGAAGAAACATTGCAAGATGAACGGGCTACATTTCCACAACAGCAAGCCCAGACAAGCGATGTTCCGTAGCGACGATGAGGTGGGTGGATTGGAAAAAGCTGTGGTATGTACATGTTTGTGGTGCATGGTTGGAGATGCCTTGAGGGAAGTGCAACTTTCTTGAACCTGCCATCCTTCGCGACAGTAAGAAATGGTTTCAGCTGGCTGGACAAACAAACACATCATATTTTCAACATAAACAGACATTTATATACATGCATAGAACATACGTGCATATATATATATGTATATATCTATATACATATACATGTCGTCATAAATGGGGCTTAGGGGTTTGGGGGGGCATGAAGCCCATGAAGTCTGTCATCTCCACAGAAATATGTTTAGTTTTCTGGGCCTACGCAAGCTTCTCAAAGAAGACCATGGAACATACAGACGCAAACAAGAAACGCTGATGCAGCGGTTCAACCACAGAGAACTCGACTTGAACGCACAACTCTCTGAAGATATACGCGACGCTCCCGGATCACAGGTCCGCCCGCGTACAAGTCCTACCCCGCCAGTCTGCCCCCGCATGCTTACCAACAAGGAAACAAAGCTGTTCACGCACAAATCCTTCGAAGGGGGCAACTGCTGCGTGGCCACTACCAATACTACCAGTCCTTCCTTCGCAACCAACCATGTAACATCCTGACCCATCCCAGCTAGCGAACAGCTCTCTACAATCCATCCTGGTCCATCCGCACACACACACACAAAGCCTCACAAATCCGTGTACACGCAATTTCCTTCTCTGATCGAATCCAAAGCGAACCCTCATCATGAAACACAGGGCTAAGCTGCGGTGAGCGCGCCGACGAAGTGGTCCACGTCAACCGTCTCCTGTTTGCACTTCGCGGCCAAATACCTGGAGCAGACGATCCGCAATTTAGGATTGTCAGGTTTGGGGACTAGGCTCTTAGGGTTTTTGGGGATGCTTTGCCGTGCTTCGGGTGGCCCCCAGAGTCTGTTTGAGCTTAGGGCATGTTAGGGTTTACTCTAGGATTAGGGCCTTTGCTCCGGGCGTTAAAGGCTTCAGGGCTTCAGGACTGCTGAACCCTCAGAAGCCTAAACAACCCTGAACCCTCACAACCCTGAACCCTGAACCCTCAGGCCCAAACAACCCTCAACCCGAAACCCTCAATGCTAAACAGCCCTCAACTCGGGGTGTGGGGACAGGAGCTTGCATCGGTTTACTCATGGGCCAAACCGTGCCAAACCTCTAGTTGTCGTACCAGGTCATCCACACCACCCTCCTTGCCACGCTTTAAGCCCTGTCCCGAATGCTCCAGCCTCTCTTCTTTCTTCATGGTCAGCACCTCCGATTCGGTGTGGTAGCCTCGCACCATCTCGTTCTCCAGCATGCTGCCCTCATCCTCTGACAAAGCCTCTGCTTCGTCGTCGTCGTCGCACTCATGCGCGACCTGTCCCGCGGGAGAAAAAAAGAATGCAGAATGCCTTCCTTCTGATGTGCAAACTTGAAGCTCATGAGCGCAGGTCGACTGGCACGTTGATGCGTGGACACTCGAGCCTTCTCCAGACTCTGCCTTGGCGGAACCCAGATACCCTCAAAACTGTGACGTCCCAATCCTCTCTCGAACAGTCCAACTTCCCTGCCGGCTGCTGTCAGAACGCATGCGGTCATACAGCGAGATTAGAGTACCGACAACTACTCGATTTGTTAGGGTTGTGCAAGTTAAGTTACCCGCATACTGACGACAGTTGGCGAGAAGAACGCATGGTGTGCTCTCCAAGCGTCTTGAAGTTCTCGATGGCGTCGGAAGAAAGTTCCATGGCAGACAGCACGTTTGAGACATCTTTGTCCAGCTCATCCTCCCGCGGCAAGCCAAACAAGCCAAACAAGCAGCCATGCTTCCACGCTGGCCTTTAATCTGTGTGCGACATACTACAGCTGTCACTGTTGGCAACAAAACAGTCTGAAGTCTGAAGTCCAATCTCTTCCCCAGACATCAAACCGGAAAATTGCCTCAAAGCAGACGGTGTGCATGCCGGTAGGTCTACGAGGCTTGAGGCAATTCAATCAGACGCCATAGAAGCACATAAGCCTCCATACACGAAAAACGAGGGGGCCAAAGGAAAGGACAAGCCAGGACCAGCTATCGAACCAGCACGGACCTGATGGACACTTTCATGAGAGCACCAACAATCCGCCGAGGCCCCAGGCCGTCGGAGATCACAGGAGTCTAGGGAAACTGGGGTACCACCCTCCTGATCCTCCCGCTGAGGCTGCTGAGGCCCCACATAATTTTGAAGGTTCGCCAGGACCAGGGGCAGTTCGTTGAGGGCCGACTTAAACTTCCCCCCCCCCCCTCGCTCCCCTGCGCCTTCTTGATTCTTCCACCCCACCTCATTTTAACCTCGCCCCAACTCCTTATTCCCGTATCTCTCCGTTTTACCTTCCCGCCCTTTGGCCAATGGGTTTCCGTGCCGACGATGGCGCCATGGTCCAGCTGGCGGTACCTTCGGTTTCCGGAGAAGCCTTCTGGCTATGGTGTTCTGGCCAGCGTAGGAAAAGTGTTGATGTTCGGATTCCGTCGTGAGGCGAATGAAAACAAACGCTCTTGGCCGCAAAAGGCTCCAAAGTGTACAGTTTGCAAGATTGACTGCTGATAGAGTCGCCACCACAACTGCCTAAAGTGTCCACGCTCAGTCAGTCTGTGTGTGTGTGTGTAAAATGCGTACCAAGACCATGGTCCTTGAAGTCAAAACGACCCAAAAAAGTCATTCTGCCAGGGTCGTACAGCGCATGTAAAAAGTGCTATAGTCCTGAGTTACAGCGTGTGCTGCTTGCGGCGCTTTGCATCTCTGGATGGTCACTCCACTGCATGTGGATGACGGCGATGCGCTCAGCCGTAGTTCATTTTCCCGAATTGCATTACAGGTATGCTCCGCGCTGCAGCACATGTGCCAAGCTTCGGGCAACGGTCCTGGGTAATGGAATCGGAAGGCTAAGTTTTCTGGACCAAAGTTATGAATGTCCGAATGGATTTTTCTTCTTCTCGGCAAAACATTCGAGGTTGCCCAACCATCGTATGAGAACGAAGCCTGTTGCAGCCGGCGTAGTTGGCGGCAAACCACGTGCTGGCCTTCGCGGAATGTGCGTAAACCTTTGAAGGTTGGCGTGCTGGCTGCTCGTTTTACCCGTGAGCTGGTCTGCCCAAGCCGGTCTTTTTCTTTGGAAGGTGCTGGGAGTGCATGGCAAGCTTCCTTCTCGCGCAGACTGAATGTTGCTGGGAGTGACCCCTTGCATGTCCCTAGCATGACACATACACACACAAGAGAGCACGCACATGCATGCATAAACAGACGCGCACGATGAAACAAAGCGAGCTGGCTGGGCCTTAAAGCCTCAAGCCTTCAAACACTCTTAAGCCGTATGCGGAAGCGGAGCCGAAGCGGAGCCGAAGTGGAGCTTAAGTGCAGGGCCGCTCCTGGACTTGCTTCACCGCAACTTGTCTGCCAGACTGCTTTTGCATCTCACTCACCTGACACGCGCTGGCACACCCTACAGATTTGCCTCCCCGATCTGTCAGTATCTCACACTGTCACACTCTCACACATTTTCTCACGATCTCTCTTAATCTCTGACTCTCTCGCTCTCACACTCTTCTCACACTCTTCTCACACTCTTCTCACACTCTTCTCACACTCTTCTCACGCTCTTCTCACACTCTTCACACTCTTCTCACACTCTTCTCACACTCTTCTCACACTGTTCTCACTCTTCTCACACACCACACTCTCTCCCGCCCTCACTCTGACTGTAGTTACACGTCCATGTCTTGGTCATCGCGCTGCCTCATGGTCTTGGCTACTCAGCTCGGCCAACTTATCGAGCTCCGTCGCGAGCTCCGCATTCATCAATTGCTTCAGTTCGTCCGCTTTCTGGATGTCACCAGCATCCTCTGCCTGCAAACAGTCGTGAGGAATGGAACATAAATGAGCCTTAAGGACTGCCTTTTCCCATGTTTGGGCTGGCAGTTTTTCAGGCTTCGGATCAGGAATGTGGCAATGATTCTGAAAGCATGTAAGGCGAACAGGCAACCTCGGGGCAGTCGTTCTGTCCCTTCTTTACGCTGTGCGCAATACCCACCATGGCGCCATGGGATGGCTTGGGTTCTTTAGAGAGGCTGCTGGAACTCCTGAGACCTTCCAGGATTCCGAAGAAAAGGCAGAACACAAGAACTGCCTGCGAGCAGATCCCCAAAGACCCCCGGTGCGGCCTCCTTGCTCATCGCCGCCAGACAATCCAAGGTCTGACTGGCTTTGCCGATCTTATTGTTGAAGTCTTCCACTGACAAGTCCTTCAGCGGAACCTTCGGGCAGAAGCATCAGATATTGTCAACACCTCGCAATCCATTCTAAAGCCTGACCTCAGAGCTCTCTAACCTTAGGCTCAGAAGCCTCAAATTTTAACTCAGAATTCTCGGGGCCTTTGGCTGGGTCGAGGTCGGCTGGGTCGTGGAGGGAGTCGGGCAGATGTCCGGGCACCACTCAGCAAAGGTCTTCGTGTTGAACTTCTCATTGAGTGGATGGTTTGCGCCAGGACACAAGTCTTGCCAAGTTTCGTTGCACTTCATCTGCAAGATTTCGATGATCTCTTTACAAGATAAGGCTGCCGCAGCCCCCCGATCAGTGCAGTATGCTTTTGCTCCTGAACGGTTGGCTTCAATTGCTTCATTTCCATGGACCTTGTAGCTCCGCACGGAACTAAGGCAAAGAGCTGCCGCTGCGAGTACGGCCAGCATGCTGCGAGACTTCGATTACCCTCAGAGCTGGCAGTGAACTCATAAAGGCTGCGGTTCAGAATGCAGATAAAATAGACAAGCATGGGCGCGTGACATATGCTTCTTGTGTTTCCAGCTCATGGTCTCCCATCAGCGAACTCCCTATTTCAGGACTTTCCATCCCCTTGCTTGGCACTGTAAAGACCTGTAAAGCAACATGGAATGGGAGTCGAATCAATGCGAACGTAACTCGCACTGAAGTAAACGCAAGCAAAGGGTTAGAGGTTGTCGAAGATGAATGAAGCTATTCCAAGCGATCAACACATCCCCGCACCACTCACTCGAGTCTTTCTCTCAGACTTCGTTCCTCACGATCTCTGCCGTCCCCATCGGGGCGGAGCGTGACTAGAAAGCCAGATGGAAATAGGGGAAGCGCAGCTGTACGCCAGACGCCACTGAGGGCCGGCAGATGCCCACGTTCGGAGTCGATTCAGTCGATGGCAGGAGGCAATTCAAGCTAGTACGCCAGTACGCCACGACTGCCACGAACTGCCAGATCCTCGTGAGAGGCGCTGCTTGCTCTCGTCGAAAGGCTTTCCGAGGCACTGGCGAAGGACTCGAAGCACTGGTGGATCATCCACTCACATAAGACGGCGCAACGTGGATGCTCAGGATACCAGCCGGTCAGAGTGGTGTGCGAACCTGTGTGTCTGTGTGTCTCTGTGCCTGTGTGTCTGTGTGTCTGTGTGTCTGTGTGTCTGTGTGTCTGCGTGTCTGTGTGTCTGTGAGTCTGTGTGTGGGTTGTGGGTTGTGGGTTGTGGGATGTGGGTCGTGGGTCGTGGGTCGTGGGTCGTGGGTCGTGGGGTCGTGGGGTCGTGGGGTCGTGAGGTCGTGAGGTCGTGGGGTCTGGGGTGAGTGCGCGCCACCACCCTCACCCCCCCCCTTTATTTGTCTCCTTCCACTTCTTTCGTCAAAATCTTTAAAAGGTTTCCGCACCCACCCCCAACCGTCATCAGCCCTCCGTGCCCTACAGTACCCCGCCGCTGCCCCCTATATACCTCCTTACCCCCCTACCCTCTACCCCCTACCCTGACCTGCGCAACAGTTCTTCCGTGTAGCAGCACATGGGACGCGTGCAAGGATGACCGGACTGCATTTCCCATGCTGGATTCGCCACCTTTGACATATTCCTCTGCCTCCTCCTGTGAGCGGTCTCCCCGACGTGGCGTCGGCATGGCTCTTCGTTGACCGGGCCAATCTGGACGAGAGCTCCGAAGTAAGCTTGCTGGCGAGCACTGAGAATGCTTCTCCAGCTTGCTGCTATTCTCTTGGACAGATCGATGAAGAAGTCCTGGGAGCGCATGGGGAGGACCAGCACCGTGCACCACCAACGAAGCCGAGGACGACGAAGACGATGATTGGGGGTGAGTTTGGCCTGCAGGACGAGCTCGGCGAAAAAGACCATGGTGACATGAGTGTTGCCTACATGACGGCAAAGGCGTGTTACCGGGATACTCCCCAGGGCCAGACGCGTTGATGTGGAAGCTGTACGCCGGCAAGAGCCATCGCGTAGCATGCCCAGACACACAAACGCCAGCTGCCCGACGAACAACGAACCAGAACGACTCCGGAAAAAGGATGCCCGGTCCCACAAAATCAACGTGACGAGAAGTCTTCGAGCTGGGGACGGCTCTCAGGGACCGCTCCTGGCGGTGTGCGTGTGCGTGTGCGTGTGCCTGTGCCTGTGCGTGTGCGTGTGCGTGTGGGTGTGGGTGTGGGTGTGGGTGTGGGTGTGGGTGTGGGTGTGGGGGTGGGGGTGGGGGTGGGGGACTGTGGAAACGCTTTGTGTGTCTTGGCTAAGCGGAGGCGGTGACGAGAACGCGAAAACGCGAAAAACGCGAAAAACGCGAAAACCGCGAAAACCGCGAAAAACGCGAAAAACGCGAAAAGCGCGAAAAGCGCGAAAACCGCGAAAAGCGCGAAAAACGCGAAAACCGCGAAAAACGCGAAAAACGCGAAAAGCGCGAAAACCGCGAAAAACGCGAAAAGCGCGAAAAAACGCGAAAAACATACGCGCAAAATGCGAAAACGGTAAAAACGCGCAAACGCGACAAACGGGAAAATACCCAACACACGCGAAAGACGCCAAAAAAGTGCGAAAAACGCGAAAACGGAAACAAGGACAGAACACGTCCCTAAAGTCCAAACCCTACAAGCCCTAAACTTACCCGAAACCGCCCCAAATAAACATGCTTCAAACCCTGAATGTGTCGTCAGAGTGGCCCGCGCGTAGCTCCAGGGGGGTATAGGGTTCAGGGTTTAGAGTTTCGACTTGGGGGTTGGGGATGGTTCAGGCGTTTAGGGTGGATTCTTAAGTATTGGAGTGGGTGCGGGGGGGTTATAGGGCTGAGGTTTTAAATTTTAAGGTTTCAGGGCTTAGGTCTGGGTTCGTTTGCTCCTTATCTCTCTGTCTGCCTCTCGGCCCTTCTCTCCTCTCTGTGTCTGTGTTCTCTAACACACCCACACACCCACACACGTATATACATATATCTATATATATATGTATATATATGTATATATATGTATATATGTATATATGTATATATGTATATATGTATATATGTATAATATATGTATAGTATATGTATAATATGTGTATATGTATATATGTATATATGTATATATGTATATATGTATATATGTATATATGTATATATGTATATATGTATATATGTATATATGTATATATGTATATATGTATATATGTATAATATATGTATAGTATATGTATAAATATGTGTATATGTATATATGTATATATGTATATATGTATATGTATATATGTATATATATATATATGTATGTATACATGTATATATGTATAATATAGTATATGTGTAATATATATGTATATATGTATATATATATGTATATATGTATGTATATATGTATATATATGTATATATATATGTATATATATAATATATGTATATATGTATATATGTATATATGTATATATGTATATATGTATATATGTATATATGTATATATGTATATATGTATATATGTATATATGTATATATGTATATATGTATATATGTATATATGTATATATGTATAATATATGTATAGTATATGTATAATATGTGTATAATATCTGTATATATGTATATATGTATATATGTATATATGTATATATGTATATATGTATATATGTATATATGTATATATGTATATATGTATAAGGGATTCATGTGGTAGTGCATGCAAACAAAGTCCTCGTATGATGCTGAGCTCCTAACTGGTGAAGCTCTTTACACAGGGTTTTCTGGTTTGGGTTAAGGGTTTATGGGGTAGGGCTTAGGGCGGTTTATGGGCTAGAGCTTGGGGCCTTGGATTTAGAGTTTGGGCCATCCTTGAGACAAACCCAGACACCCAAGCTCTTTTATGTTGACGAAACATCCCTGTACAAAATCCCAAGCGCAGCAACCCAGCCTGGCAGACTTGCAACAGGCCGTCACAGTCCACGGCGTCGCTCTCATCCACCACTTCCGGCAGTCTTGAGAAGAGACTCGTGCCGAGGGCTCGAACAGGAAAAACGGGAAAACGCGAAAAATGCGAAAAACACGAAAAACGCGAAAAGCGCGAAAAGCGCGGAAAACGCGAAAAGCGCGAAAAACGCGAAAAACGCGAAAAGCGCGAAAAACGCGAAAAACGCGAAAAGCACGAAAAGCGCGAAAAGCGCGAAAAACGCGAAAAGCGCGAAAAGCGCGCAAAACGCGAAAATGGCGACAAGCACGAACCTACATGCATGTTCTTTTTGGTTTTTGCGTTTTTCTCGCTTTTCGGGTTTTTATCGTTTTTTGTGTTTTTCTTGGTTTTTGACGAGCTTTTCTTGTTTTTCGACTTTTTGCGCTTTTCTTGTTTTTTGCGCTTTTCGACTTTTTGCCCATCTCCACGCAAACTCCGATACGGTACGACGCGCGAAATGTTTCCTTAGGGTGGGGGTGGGGGTGGGGGGGTGGGGGTGGGGGTGGGGGGGGGGTGGGGGTGGGGGTGGGGGGGTGGGGGGGGGGTGGGGGGGGGGTGGGGGTGGGGGGGGTGGGGGTGGGGGTGGGTGGGTGGGGGTGGGTGCGTGCGTGCGGGGGGGTGCGTGCAGGTGTGCAGGTGTGCGGGTGTGCGGGTGTGCGGGTGTGCGGGTGTGCGGGTGTGCAGGTGTGCGGGTGTGCAGGTCTGCGGGTGTGCGGGGTGTGCGGGGTGTGCGGGGTGTGCGGGGTGTGCGGGGTGTGCGGGTGTGCGGGTGTGCGGGTGTGCGGGGTGTGCGGGTGTGCGGGGTGTGCGGGGTGTGCGGGGTGTGCAGGGTGTGCGGGGTGTGCGGTGTGTTTGTGTGTTTGTGTGTTTGTGTGTTTGTGTGTTTGTGTGTTTGTGTGTTTGTGTGTTTGTGTGTTTGTGTGTTTGTGTGTTTGTGTGTTTGTGTGTTTGTGTGTTTGTGTGTTTGTGTGTTTGTGACTTTGCACATTTGTAGGTTTGTGCGTCTGTGCGTTTGTGCGTTTGTCCGTTTGTGCGTTGTACGTTTGTGCCTGTGTGCCTTTGTGGGTTTGTGTGTGTGTGGTGTCCGTTTGTCCGTTTGTGCATTTGTGTGCTTATGTGTCTGTGTGTGCGTGTGTTTGTGTGTGAGTGTGTGTCTGTGGAGTGTGTATGTGTGTGTGTGTGTGTGTGTGTGTGTCTGTCTGTCTGTCTCCGTGTGTATATGTGTGTGTGTGTGTGTGTGTGTGTGTGTGTCTGTGCGTCTGTGTGTCTGTGTGTCTCTGTGTCTGTGTGTTTGTGTGTTTGTGTGTTTGTGTGCTTGTGTGGTTGTGTGTTTGTGTGTGTGTTTGTGTTTGCATGTGCTTGTGTGTTTGTGTGTTTGTGACTTGTGTGTTTGTTTGTGTGCTTGTGTGTTTGTGTGTTTGTCTGTTTGTGTTTTTGTGTGTTTGTGTGTTTGTGTGTTTGCGTGTGTTCGCGTGTGTTCGCGTGTGTTCGCGTGTGTTCGCGTGTGTTCGCGTGTGTTCGCGTGTGTTCGCGTGTGTTCGTGTGTGTTCGCGTGTGTTCGCGTGTGTTCGCGTGTGTTCGCGTGTGTTCGCGTGTGTTCGCGTGTGTTCGCGTGTGTTCGCGTGTGTTCGCGTGTGTTCGCGTGTGTTCGCGTGTGTTCGCGTGTGTTCGCGTGTGTTGCATGTGTTCGCGTGTGTTGGCGTGTGTTTGCGTGTGTTTGCGTGTGTTTGCGTGTGTTTGCGTGTGTTTGCGTGTGTTTGCGTGTGTTTGCGTGTGTTTGCGTGTGTTTGCGTGCGTTTGCGTGTGTGCGTGCGTGCGTGTGTTTGCGTGTGTTTGCGTGTGCGTTTGCATGTGTGCGTGTTGCGTGTGTGTGCGTGTGCGTGTGTTGCGTGTGTGTGCGTGTGCGTGTGCGTGTGTGTGAGCGTGCGCATGTCCATATCCATCTGCGTGTGCGTTTGCGTGTGCGTGTGCGCGTGCGCGTGCGCGTGGGCGTCTACATTTGCGTGTGCGTGTGCGTGTGCGTGTGCGTGTGCGTGTGCGTGTGCGTGTGCGTGTGCGTGTGCGTGTGCGTGTGCGTGTGTGTGTGGGTGTGGGTGTGTGTGTGTGTGTGTGTGTGTGTGTGTGTGTGTGTGTGTGTGTGTGTGTGTGTGTGTGTGTGTGTGTGTGTGTGTGGGTGTGCGCGCGCGCATGCGTGTGCGCGTGCTGTGCGCGTGCGTGTGCGAGCGCAAGCGGTGCTGCGCAGCGTGTGCGTGTGCGCGTGCCGTGTGCGCGTGCGCGTGTGCGCGTGCGCGTGTGCGCGTGCGCGTGTGCGCGTGCGCGTGTGCGCGTGCGCGTGTGCGCGTGCGCGTGTGCGCGTGCGCGTGTGCGCGTGCGCGTTTGCAATATGTACCGCAGTCTCCAGTCGCAACTTTCCGGGCGATTCGCACACAGACACGCACCCCTCCCCCTCGTGCACTCAAGCATCTTGATTAAGATGCTCTCTGCGATGCCAAGTACAGATATAGAGTGAGTGAGCGAGCGTGCACAGAATCACATGAGCGTTACACGCCCCTACCGCTATATTGCATGCCGTTTTTATCGGAGCCTCGACTCCTAGGCCCTCAACTCTCTTCGCACTTTACACTGACAGCTCGCCCCCAACGATGCTCCAGAGCTCCGGCAAAGCAATGCTGGGAGTACCTGAAGTCCCAGTATCCCGGTTCGTGTGTTAGCTATGAGTTCAGGGTATGGAGACGCTTTTGGGATTGCGGCCAAAGAAGGCAAACGTTTTCGCTTTGAAGTCTCGAAGTTGGGACGGTGAAGATTCATGGGTTTAGCTGAGTCTAGTCTAGCTGGCAGAGGGCATAGGCAGGTTGCCTATGCCCTCTTCTACACGAAGCGTGATCCTCCCGTGAGCACAGAGACGCAGAATGACGCACAGATTGAACTGAAGGAGCCATCATTTTTGCACAGCGCTGCCGAAGTGCTGCCGACCTCCTTGCCATGTAGTGTTGGCACACGGCTTTGTGCTTTGAGGCGCACTATGGTATGGTGCCGAACGCCAGCATCATGAACATGCCGGGCGTCGCGACAGGGACAACACCAAACATTTTGCGCAAGTCACCACAGCGGACTATGATGGACAAAACGGTTGCTTATGTTGCTTACAACCCAAGGTTTCCCGTCGCTTCCCGGCCAACGACGGCCTCACAGCTGCCACTCCCACTCGCCGATAGTTTTCCACTTGTACCGATACGAGCACCACTTCCACCAGCAGTCGTAGGCCTCGTGGTACATGTCCTCAACCTTCACCTTCAGCGATTGGCCGTTTGTGCCTCTATACTCGTTGAACTCCGCGAGGCATGACGTCTCCGCGGCGTGGACCTGGCACTGTGCGGCATTGGGCAGCCTCTGACAGGCTCCAGCATGGCCATACTTTGTCAGGTACCAGTAGTAGGACCACCTGTCCCACCAACGACCACCCTGAAGGTTGCAGTACTCTGTGACAGGTTTAGTGAGCTCGTGCACCGCAAAGTTGAAGTTAATGGTCGTCTTGGATTCGCCGGTAATCCAGTACTCGCCCCAGATGCTGGTATCTCCGACGACCAGCTTGCCAATGAAGGGATAGTACTTGGTGCTTGCCAAGGTCCAGCAATCCTGGTCGAGGAGTGCCAAAAGGTGCGAGAGACCTGGAATACCCATGCATAAGTTCAGACTGATGCCGATGTTGAAGGTACTCATGATCGCAATGACCCCGCCGCAATTTTGAATCGCCGCCCCGAAGTTGAACCTGGGCTGCTGACCAACTCTTTCAACAGGAACCCTTCTGCTACGCATTCGGGAGAAGGTTACAGCATGTTAAAACCACTCTTCGCACAGTTGACAAGGGACTTCAGCTTCAGAGGGTCACCTGGCTGCAAGCCAAGACAGAAGGTCGCCGTTGCGGAAATGCAAGGTACCTTGGAGGCACTTCAATTTTGGGCGGTTTTGTTCGCACGGGAATTCTCTCTTAGGTTTGGGACGCTACCTTGGAAGCCAGGTGACGGGTTTTCGGCCGTGGTTGTTGACCAGGTTCCTGAACCAGAGGAACACGCCCGTTCCGCTCTGGGCCTCCTTGACCCAACCGTTCTTGCTGTCATATGCTGGAAGAGGATAGGTGAAGCAGTTGTCGCCAACACAGAAGGTTCCAGAGACGAAGCCGCTTGTGCAAGGCGCGAACCAAGCACCCTTCGCCAAATGATGCGTGCCATTCACGGACATGTTGAATGCCAAGTCAGAGTCCGCCTGCGTGACGAGCTCGTTGTTCTGGTGGTCCCTGGCGACAACGGCAGTCTGCTTCTTCTCCTCCTTCTGCCTGGCTAAAGCTACGCCTCTGCTGAGCTTCTGGCTCATGTGCTTCGAGTTGTCCTTCAAGGCCTGCAAATGATGCAGCTGGCACACCATCACGGACTCCACTGCATCGCAGATGCACTGCTTGTAGTCCTTCAGGATGTCGGCGCTCTTCGTTCGCTCGTCCACACCGCAACGCACGGAGGTCCGCTTTTGCTGCCAGTGTGGGTGCTGGTCCAAGTGCTGAAGGCGCGCACGCTGGCCCTGCGTCAGGTTGCCTCTGGCGATCTCTGCGAAGTCCTCGTAGAAGTCAGCAAGCTCCGGATGGGAGTGGTCACCGCCAAGGGCGAGCTTGAGGTGACGCACAAAACGATGGCCCAGCTGGTTCTCCTGCAAATTCCGATCCCAACAGAACATTCCCAAGGCCAAAATTCTCAGTCAAATTCAAGCCTTTAGGGAGTCGCACAAGGAATTGCATCTCTGTCTCCTTCGTGTGGAGGGCAAGAACTTGCTTGGCTTGCTGATCCACCTTGTGAGACCTCGTTGCACCCATGCACAGTGGGAAGTAGAATCGTTGTCGTTTGTTGCGCCGTCCCTTCTTAACAAAGGAACGCAAAGACACAGTCGCAAGACAAAAAAGTGGCTCCCCCCATGCTACGGATGCCTCTTCCCAAAAACTGTGAATCGCCTTTGACTTGAACGAAGGGGCAGATCGTCAGCCAATTGCTGGTGGGCTGTCTGGAGCAGAGAGCTTCCGCACTTTGCAGAGCCATACTTCACCTTCATAGTCTTGATGAAATAATCTACGTTAACCTTCTCCACACTGCATCGTTTGTCCAAATAGATTTCCTCGTGCTGAATCTGGGCCAACTCGCTCTCTGTCTTGTGCCCATCCTGCCTTGTTGGCTTTTGTGTAGTGAAAAATCAACAAAAAGCCATCGTTTTCGAAATCCGAGCAACGAGCTTGACTGGCTGACTGGCATGTCTTCTTAAATCTCCAAAAGCCCGCAAAATGCACAGCAATTTTATGGCTAAGATGCATGTGGTGGAGGAGGTCCGTTGAATCCTCGGCAATGGACTTTGCTTCCTCGCCATCGCCGCAAGAATTCGCCACCTCTTCCAAGGTGGCCGTGTACTCCTCGAGGGCTCCAAAAAAAAGGAAAGAGAATTGAAGGGGTTCATGACTACAGATCAAAACAGACTGTTCTTATTGGGCCGGAGCCAGCTACTCAACGATTCCAGGTGGGCCTAGCACTAGCGCACTAATTGTGGCGGGAGTGCAGCTTACCATCTGAGCTTGTGGGTGGTCACTTTAGTACTTGTAGTTATGATTAGTTATTGTCTTTCAATGGCAGCTTGGGCTCAACAGAGGGCCTTTCTTTCAACATGTCGCTTCCCTATTTCGCCTTCTGGACGGGTCGCCCGCGGTGCTCTACGGTGCTTTGCAGCAGATCGCGGACGGGCACGCCATGGGGGACGGGGGGCCCGAGAAGTGAAGACCGCGGAGAGCGGAGGGAGCGTCTTCACGCAAAACAGGGGGGAGGAGGGGGGCAAATTCCGCAATGCACTGCGCTTGCATTCTTCCACAAACTCTGCATACGAGCGCTACGTAAGTACAGAATGAGTGACTTGAGTGGTGCATTCAGATCACGCACTTATTGCTTCTGCCTTTTGGGCTCCTTTACGGTCTCGTCGGAGATTTCCATTGCCGACAGGACCTCTTCCGTCTCGCTCGCGAATTGCTCCTTCACCTCTGTTACTGCAACCTCTTGAGCAGCGAGAAGATTGCCCTCGATCGACTCTTCATCGTCCGGGCTCAGAATCCTCAAAGCAACAGGAGAAGCATGAAGAACAACTGACATTTCTTGACACCGGAACGTACAACACTCCGCCGAGTCAAGAAAAGCACAAGAGCACAAGCAGTAGCGGATCGCCGAGCATCGCAATCTTCTTGACATCAACTGCGACCTCTCCGGCCATGAGCTTCCTCAAACGCTTCGCGGCGGCGTGGTCCTCCGCCTCTTCAGCCTGCGGCTTCGAAAAAGAGCTTCCAACAGAGCAAATCGGAGCAAATGCGGAAAAATCTGGAGTCGTCCCCTCGTTTGACTCGAACGCACACCAACACGGCTTGAAGTGTCCCCCCTTAGGAGTTTTCTCTCGCGTCCCCCATCTCTCCGAATCTCTCCTTCTCGATCATGTCGTCGAAGCATTCCATGTGGGACTTGGCCGTGGCAAGGCGTGGGTCGTCGTTGTCCAGCTCGGAAAGAGCGACCTCTCAAGGGGAACGTCTAGAAAAGAGGGAATCACCACAAATAACACCGACGGATTCCGTTCTAGGACTTGAGGTCGCGTCTCGCTGTCTCGCTCTATTCTGCTTCTGCTCAGCGGAGAGTTCGCCCCTCTCGCTCTGTCTCTTTCTTCTTATTCTTCTTCTTCTTCTTCTTCTTCTTCTTCTTCTTCTTCTTCTTCTTCTTCTTCTTCTTCTTCTTCTTCTTCTTCTTCTTCTTCTTCTCTTCTTCTTCTTCTTCTTCTTCCTCTTCTTCTCTCTTCTTCTT